TGGCAACAACATCAATTACAAATGTAAAATCAGGAAAGAAAACTACAACTATGTCTTCACCTAGGGGGCAGAGATCTATAGATGCAATGCTATTGGCAGAAAAAACTAGTTCAGCTCAAAGCCTGCAGACAGTACAGGCAATGCTCACTATGGTGCAGGAAATGATGGCAAAAACCCATGAATTGATAGCGAGGAACCATGAAGATATGAAAACAGAGATGAGAACTGAAATAGGACAAGTGAAAAATGAAATAAAAAAATTGAATAGTAAGATTGGAAAGATGCAGGAAAAAGTGGTAAAAAATGAACAGAAATTAAATTTAGTAGAGGCAAGAACGGAGATGGTGGAGAAGAAATTAGAGGATTCAGAACAAAATTGGAAAGTGCTCTACTGCGAACTCCAGGATTCGATGATACACATGGAATTAGAAAAGGCATCATTTCATCTTAGGTTCCAAAATGTGGTGGAAGACAAAAAGGAAGATTTACGTGCAATTATGATGAATCTGATAGTGGCGGCTTTACAGAAACCCAAACTGGAAATTGAAAATGATGTAGACGAGGTATACAGAGTATATACACACTATGCGAGGAGACACAGACTACCCCGAGAGGTTCATATTCGATTTGCAAGAAAGACAACATGAGACCTGCTCTATAGTAAAACCAGAGATCAACCACTTGTATACAAAGATCATGAAGTGGTTACACTGAAACAAATACCCAGGAGAGTCAGAGAGCAGAGAAGGGGCTACCAATTTTTATCAACTCATCTTATTAGAAATGGTATTCCATTTAGGTGGCTCACCCCAGAGGGGCTTTTAGTTTCATGGCAGGACAAAAAATACAAAATTGATACAATTGAAAAAGCACAGGAATTTCGTGAATGACACCTAGGACCCAGGAAGAACAAGAAAGTAGAGACGACCTAAATATCAGAAGCCAAGAGGAACAACTCTCCGGAGAAAAAGAATCTGATTTACACTCTGAATCCCAAAATCTTACAGAAGAAGGGGAAGGCAACAGACTAAGAAAAAGAGAGCCTAGAACAAGGAATGAAACGAGAAATGCCTCACACAGTCAGTGACACTGATGGAGAAATCACTTTATTTTCAGTCAATATCAATGGTTTAAATTTATCATCAAAAAGAAAACAGATATTTGAGAAACTCAAAAAACAAAATGCTGACATAACTTGTATCCAAGAAGTGCATATTCCAGACAATCAAGCAGACCTCTTAAAGAATACAAATTTGGGTAAAATCTACTCAGCACTTGCAAACAAAAAGAAAAGGGGGGGGGGTGTATTGTAGTATATGTAAAGGATTGGTTGCAACATAAACAAATATACAAAGATCCAGAAGGGAGAATGCTCTTTATAGAAATAAATGTAAATCAGAAAAAGATATTATTTGTCACAATATATGCCCCGAATACAAATCAAAAAGACTTTTATAATAGGCTTCACCATAAGATAATAAAATTTGAGTATGCTAATGTATGCATTGTAGGAAACTATAATGCAGTCCCAGATAAAGATAAAGATTATAGAACTTCCCCCTCCCAAAATGGAAAGGATAATACTCCCTTCGTCTTTTAATAATATGGTAAGAGAACTTAACTTGAAAGATGTGTGGAGAGAATTAAATCCAAATAAAAAACAATATACCTTTTTTTCAAACCCCCACAACTGTTGGTCCAGAATAGATCAGATATGGATGGACCCTGGGTTAATGGAGAATATTGAAAGGATCGAGATTTTGCCAAATCTATGGGCTGACCATAATCCCATTCAAATTAAATGGAAAGGAAAGAGAAAAATTGGAAGATGGACATTTAACAATACCATATTAAGAGATAAAGAATATATTGAAATAATAAAGAAAAATTGAACGTATTTTTTGAAATAAACAAAAGAGAACATACCTTGCTACAGAATCTTTGGGATATGGCCAAAGCCTATGTGAGAAGTCTAACTATTGCTTATAGTATTAAAAAGAATAAAAAAAAAAGACAGCAACAAAACATATAGAGGGAGAAACTAAAAGATTTGGAAACAAGTAGACAAAAAGACCCAAACAATCCAAACATTAAGAAAGAAACTGATCTGGTAAAACATAAGATAAATCTAAATGTACAGGAAGATTTGGCCCGAAAAATTAAATTAGCAAAACAAAATTATTTTGAAAATGCAAATAAGCCGGGGAGGTGGTTAGCCCTTACAATTAAAAAAGAACAAGAAAAGAGAACGATCGTAGCTCTCCAAGATCAGGAAGGGAAATTATGCACGCAGACCCAAGAAAAGAAAGAAATTGCTAAGGAGTTTTTTATGAAATTGTATAAATAGGAAAAAATGCCAGAAGAATCTATTGATCAATATTTGAATGAAAAGGATTTGCCAGAAATTACTGAATGAAGAGAAACAAAATTTGAATAATAAAATATCTATAGAAGAAATTAGGAAGGCAATTGGAACACAAAAAGCAAATAAGACCCCTGGCCCAGATGGAATTCCTTTGGAATTCTATAAGGAATTCCAAGAAACAATAGAGGAGATATTGGTGGATTTGTACAATGAAGCCCTGGAGAATGCTAACACGCCTAAATCATGGTTGGAAGCATATATTACCCTTATTTATAAAGAACAATCAGACCCACAAAAAATTCAAAACTATAGACCAATATCACTTTTAAATGTAGATTACAAAATAATGGCTACAATATTGGCGGAAAGATTAAAGAAAGTATTGAGTAGAATTATTCACACTGATCAGAATGGCTTCCTCCCCCATAGGCAAATAAAAGCAAATACAAGAACCATTATGGATATATTAGAATATTATGAAGTATACTCAACCAAGACAATAGGATTGATATTTTTAGATGCCCAGAAGGCTTTTGACAACCTGAATTGGAACTTCCTTATTAAACAACTGATCGGCATGAAATTTGGTGAAAATTTTATAAGATTTATTAAGACAATTTATAACATGCAAACCGCAAAAATATTAATAAATGGGGAAACTACAGATACCATAAAGATAAATAAGGGAATAAGACAAGGCTTCCCCCTAGCTCCTCTATTGTATATATTGGCAGAAGAGACTCTCTTAGTACAAAGTAGGCAAAAACAAGAGATTAGAGGACTAAAAATTAAAAAAGAGGAATATAAACTCCAGGCATTCGCCGATGATATGGCATGCATTGGATTATGAAAATATCGTCAGGTATAAAGATTTATTATATGATACTGGAGAGCTTAAAAATAGGAACTAAATACAAATTCAAGCAAAGGAGATAGCATGGTGGCTCTTTGCACAAATACAAACCCATTATATAAAAGATAGAGAACAATTTGGCTTTAATATGACCCCACAAGAATTAGATAAAATATGGCTAGGAGAGGAAAAGAAAACAATTAGTAAAACATATAAATATCTTTTGGACTACAAATTAAAAGAAGAAACAGTCACAGAATCTATGATAATTTGGGCTAAAAACGTGGGTCATAGTATTGAATTAGATAAGTGGGAACATATCTGGCAAACAAATTACAAATTAACCATGTCAGTCTCGTATAAAGAAAACTTATACAAAATGGTTCATCGCTGGCACCTACCTCCTGCGAGACTGGCTAAGATATAGCCAACCTATCACCCAACTGTTGGAAATGTAACTACGCACAAGGAACATATTTTCACATGTGGTGGACTTGCCCATGTGCTCAGAAGTTTTGGAGAAATATTAGAAATTGGATTTTAAATATAACAAAACAAAATTTAAAACCTGAACCTGAAAACTTTCTGCTAAGTATGATAGATTTAAACATGGAGAAAAAAATCAATATTTAATTTTGCACATCATAACTGCAGCCAGAATAACAAAACTGGAAACTATCTTTCATTCCTTCAGAGGATATGGTGATTAAAAAAATACATAAATGTGCTGAGATGGATAGCCAAACCAAATTGTTAAAAAATAAACAAGATACTATTATGAAATATGGAACATTTGGTATAAGTGGTTAAAGAAAAGGTAATATTTGATATTTGGATAAGTTATGGAAATGACAGAAGATGTGCATTTAATTATAAACTATATAGAGAAATTAAAACATTAAAAGAAGGAAGGAGTTATTGTAACAAGGCAGATCACATCAATGATAAAGATAAAGAAAAAAAATAACCATTGCTCAATATATGCTATAAAATGTATATATGTATATGTGTGTGTGTGTGTGTGTGTGTGTGTTGATTTTTCTGTTTTAAATGTATGTCAAATACATGTTTTTTCTAGAATAAAAAAATAAAATAAAATAAAAAGAAATTTGAAAACCATTTGTGAGGCATTATATGGGTAAATGTCCAATCTTACCATGATCAAACTGCATATCCTAATCATGAGTTACCACACCATTGATGAAATGAGCTAAATTATATTGCATCAGGAGAAAAAAGAAAAAAATACTTTAAAACTGGAACAGATAAATATGAGTTAAATTGATTCAGCTAGGTTTTGATGATGAGATGAAGGCAATGTCATCAGGACATGGTATTTAAAAATTGGAACATGTTAAGACCTTAGGCTCAAATTTATTTTCTAAACCAGGACAACATAATGTCACTAGAGAAGAGTTATTAAAATGTACATAAATGTATCCAAGAAATTACCAGGAGTTGAGCTAAATAGAAAAAGAGATTATTTTTTGACATTTAAAAAAAGTGTGGATCTTTGTTATGCCCTTTCCAATTTACTTAATTCTTTGTGATATGTTTTGCCTTATCTTATTTTAGGAGTATCATGTCTTCTCCTTGAAGAGTTTCTGTCTGTTGACATCTTTCCAGGAACTTTGCATATACCTTTCAGGGTATTTTGCCAGAATGACACCTTGAATTAATGTTTCTTGAATCTCTGGCTTAACATTTTTTCCCTAATTCAGTGAAGCTGAGAGGCAAAAAGGACTAAGCATAGCTTTTAAAATAATATATAACTTTTCATACTTTTTAAGGAGTCTTTTCTTCTGCTTAGCAATTTCATTCATCATTCTGTTCACTGGAGGCAACTCATTAGATCCTGGTAAGGGAAAAAGAAATAATATGGATAAGTTTTGACCATGACAACCTCAGCTGTTGCTTTGAGTTTCTTTAGGAGAAATGACTTGTTAGGCTCACACTCCATGGCTAATCACAATGTTAACTATGGTCATTAGGAAGATGATCATCTTATTAATCATGTTACAGATGATTAACCAAAGTGTTCACAGTCTCTGTTTACTTTACTGTAGAGAGTAAGTTTCTAAGTAATCTGTCCGCTGGCATTCTGTCTGTCTGTCTGTCTGTCTGTCTGTCTGTCCATCCATCCCAGCAATTTATGAAATTTTACTCATATGCCACTACATGTGAAATACAAATTAATCAATTTCTCATTGCCATTATTTTCAGAACCAAGCACATAAGATATCTATGTGAAAAACAATGCTGTGTTATCTGAAGGTTTTAACCAGTGGTAGGATTCAAATTTTTAAACAACTGGTTCTCTGTCCTAATGACTGGCCGGGTGGACATTGGGTGAGCATGTGACTGGGTGGGTGTGGCCAATGTCACTCACATCAAGGGGTGCCTTGTCTGCCCCCCCCCCAGCCATTCCTTGTCACACCCAGCCTCAACATATCTAAAATGTGGTTCACCTTTTTTTTGACTTTATTATCTACATACTATAGATGTATTTTCATGGACCACTGAAAAGAGGGAATGGCCCACATGCTTTGCCCAAGAGTGTAATAGGCAACAGACTTTTAAGAAGCTGCCAGAAAGAAGGGGGTGGGGGGGGCAATGTATTTTCCAAAGCACCACAAGGCAAAACAAGAAGCAATGGATGGAAACTGAACAAAGAGAGAAGCAAACTAAGACTAAGGAGAAACTTCCAGACAGAACAATTAACCAGTGGAACTGCTTGTCTCCAGAAGTTCTGGGTGTTCTAGAAGTTTTCAAGAAAAGACTGGACAACCATTTTTCTGAAATGGTATAGGGTTCACCCCAAACTCCCATCTAAGTATTATTCTGTTATTCTGACACCTTTCCCAGGCCCTCTACCTGTTATTCCTGAGCTAAATTGCTACGACCCTCATTGGGACCCTATCTCTTTTGCTCCCTCTGGACTAACGAGTTAAAGAGCTGTCTCTAGACATTCATTTTAATAAGATTTTTAGAAACCTGTAGTTGAAAGTTCTTCATGTCTCCTTACCCTGAAGACCCAATTTCATTTGGAATTTAATCCCAAACTGATTGCCCTTTTGGCATTTCTCTTGATACTTCTCCAAAATGCACCCCAAGAAGCCACCCCCCTCCCCGTCTCTCTCTCTCTCTCTCTCACACACACACACAATTTATGCAAATTCCCTTGTCTTGGAGACTTTAGAATCGTAGGCTAGAAACAGGTACCTTGGGGGTCTTACAGTTCAACTTTCTGCTCAAGGCAGAAGACTTCATATATACCTGCGGGTTCACAAATATCCCAGCTTTGACTGCAAGAACTGCAGGCAGCCTTCCTGGACACACACTTCCTTGCCCCACCACCCCATGTGAGGCAGGAGGCCCAAGAGAAAGTGCCTGGTCTGGGCACACAGCCCTTCACAACGGAGCCCTTCCTGGGAAGCAAAGCATGGCTTGGACGATCCGTCCTGAAGGCGAGCTTCAGAGCAGCAATGGCAGAAGGAAGAAAGCAAGCTCCAGAGTGGTGGCAAAAGGCAAGCTCCAGAGTGATGGCAGCAGTGGCGGAAGGCAGAAGGCCTCCAGAGCGATAGCGGTGGTGGAAGGTGGCAGCGGAAGGTGGAAGGCAAGCTCCAGAGTGGTGGCACTCTGGGAGGGTGGACTGACGTTGGATTTAGAATGCTCAAGGAGGAGCCCTTTCAACATTTAAAAAAAAGAGTAAGGGCTTCATCTACTGACCAGAAGAGTACATACAAAAGGGAAGTGACTGATGTAATATTTATAAAGTTTTCATAAAGGTTCCTGTGATATTCAGAGAGGACATTAACCAACTTGAATGTGGAAGAGTGAAAAAAAGAAAAATACTTTTGGTGAACTTGGGAACTGTGCATCTATCTATTGTTTTGGAAAAAAAGCTTAGTGACTTGAAGTGTTTTGGGGCCTTGGTGGATTACAAATTTTATTTTGCAAAAAGATTCCCAAAGGACTACAATAAGAATAGTGTGGATTAATTTAACGTGGATTACAAATTTGACTGTTGAAGGAAGAAGAAATGGAGGAAGCGCTTACCCTTAAGATTTATGAGTAGTTAATTATTATTTCACAATGCTTAATAATTATTAATTATTGTATTATTAACTTTGTAATCAATAAGATCCATTGTCATGCCCTGTTGGAGTCTGACTCCGAGGGAGAGGAGGAACAGCCGACAGGGAGTGGAAGTGTGGCTCGGGACGTTGTGGAGGAAGCTGGGGAAGGGCAGAGGCTGGCCGGGCAGTCAGAGGAAGACCCAGGCCCATTCCCTCTCCATCCTAGGGTGCATAGGGAGGAGAGGATAAGGGAGACATGTGAATGGCATGGTCTACGGGGAGAGGAAAGGGCCTTGATCCTCTTCATGGGCTGCAGCTGTGAGGACTGTTTAAAAGGAAGGACATGCGCATGGGCCAGTGCTGGAAACAAAGTGTGAAAATATCTCTAGTCTGTCCATTCCTATCTGAGTTTGGCGTCCTTCCCAGTGTGTATTCTGATATCTATGGATGACTTCAAGCCCTTATCTTGCCTGGTTCCCTTAATTGCTTCAGTGTGGTTTGTGTTGTTTTTGATATTTATAATTTATAGGCATTTTTAGTTTAAACGGTATTTCCTCCTTTTCGTAACTGTTTGTGAGGGAGTTTTTTGTCTCCAGTCAAGGATATTTGGAGCTTTGAAGCCAAGTTGAAGGAATAAAAAGGGGCTTTACCTATTTTTGTGACTTTGTTTAATTTGTATCCTACCCTGGATAATCACATCTATATATACTCTGTTGAGATTGTGGGTTTATTGATATCTTTATTAATATAATATTAGAAAGTTGAAGGTGGAACACCAAGGGGTGTGCAAAGCAATCTTTAGCAGTGTAAAAATAATTGTTGTGTCTGCTAATTTGGAGAAGTACTGTCAGATATCGTATCTATTGCCTTAGATCTTGTATAATGTCAAATGAGGCTCCATTCAAAATCCAAGAAAGAATAGAGAATAGAATAGAATTCTTTATTGGCCAAGTGTGATTGGACACACAATCACCTTAGAAAACCTTAGACTCCATTGTTATAGAGAAAAGAAATTTTACTGAAAATTAAAGTGGTAGCATCAGAAGAATACAAGATTTGAGACAATAAATGTGAAAATCACATATAGAAAGTTACCCCATGTTCCCACCCTCAATAGTTCAAACTGGCCATCCCATCTGAGATGTGTATAATGTCATATAGGGTATCTTCATGTGGTGTTTCAGACATCTGGTATGTCAAGATGGTTGACCTTGGCTTAGACAGATAAGAGGCTACATTTGCGCAGTAAGCAAATAAGCATAGTCAAGAAAACATATCAACTTTTACATTTCACCAACTTAACCCTCCAGCACCCTTCTCCCCACAAAGCCCAATTATTCTTCCCTCCCCCTGTTTCTATGGCAGCCAGAAAGACAAGCAGAAGAAGGATTCTTGGAGCACCTTAGATTATTAGAGATGACAAGTATACTGATCATATCAAAGATAGGAAAGAAAGCCTCATCTAAACCCTCATCTGCAACATCATCACCATTTAATCTACAATCGATAGAAAGCATGTTAGGCCTGGAGAAGTCAAGCTTGATGCAGAATATGCAAGCAATCCTATTATCAATCCAAGAAGCTATAACCAAAAGCCAGGCAGTTATATCTAAAAACCATGAGGAGATCAAAAACAAAATGGGGGAGATGAAGGGGGAAATATGTAAGAAGGATGAAAAGATAGTGAGCATCCAACAAACGATAGTGAAAAACGAGCAGAGGATACAGAAAATAGAAACAAGGACTGAGCAAACAGAAAAAAAAATAGAAGAAATGGACACAAACTATCCCAGGCTAATAGAAAATTAGAAGAGACCATAATCTTCCTCAAGATGGAAAAGGCGGCTTTTTATCTGAGATTCTAGAACGTTACGAAAGAGGAAGAAGAAGACTTGGTTGAGGTGATGACAGAGCTGCTGGCTGGAATACTACAGAAAAATAAATGATATACAAAGAGATATTGATGAAATTTTTAGAATTCATATGAATTATGCAAGAAGGCATAGATTACCAAAAGAGGTGCACATGAGGTTCACCAGGAAGACACTGAGAGATGAAGTATACAAAAGAACGAGAGATGAACTTATGAAGTATAAAGGAAGAGAAATCCTGTCCCTAAAACAGATACCTAGGAGAGTCTAAGAACAGAGGATATAGAATCAATTTTTAACAGCACAACTGATTAAATATAATGTGATGTTTAGGTAGCTGATACCAGAAGGAATTCTGATCTCTTGGCAAGATAACAAGTTCAGAGTAGAAAGCAGATGAATTTTTTGAACACTACTTTACATCAAATGAAGAACAGGAAAGTAGAGAGAAGATAGAAAGTAAAAGCCAAGATGAATTGCAAGTAGAAGAAAAAACTTTAGAGCAAGAAGAAAGAAGGAGGGTGGGCAAAGAGTGGGACAAACGAGAAGGTGCAAGAACAAAAACACACAGAGAGATAGTAACAACTAGAAGGGTAATACCTATATATAAGTGAAAATATGATAGAGGAAGTAAAGATGCTATCTGTTAACATAATTGAACTCCCCCACAAAAAGAAAACAAACCTTTACAAAACTACAAAGATTAAAATTGGATATAATTTGTCTTCAAGAACTTCATATTAAAAAGCAACACGATGACCTATTGCAATACCCCAAAATTGGGAAATTGTACTCATCACTAGCACATTAAAAGAAAAGAGGGGTAGTACTATATGTTAGAGGAGCATTAAACACTAAACAAATATATGCAGATGAAGAAGGGAGAATACTAATGATAGAATAAACCAGAAACAAATCCTCTTGATCACAATATACACTCCAAATAATAAGCAGGAAAAGTTCTACAAAAGCCTTCATAAAAACAGAAATGTACTATGAAAATATATGCATACTAGGGGATTTCAATGCAATTCTGAATGCCAAGAAAGATTACAGAAGTAGCAGAAGAAATTAAAAAAAAGAACACTTCCAAAAACCTTTTCAATATAATGCAAGAATTAGGCTTGCAGGATATATGGAGAGAGCTTAACCCAAAAGTAAATCAATACATATGCTATTCGAATAGACATCAATCGTGGTCGAGAATAGACATGGTGTGGATGACCCCAGGAATGAGAACTGAGGTCCAAGAGGTAGAGATAGCAATGAATATATGGGCAGACCACAATCCCATAAAAGTTGCATGGAAGGGCCAAAAGAAGAAACTGAGGTGGACAATGAATCAAACCATCCTAAGAGACAAAGAGTTCACACAAATTATGGAAAAAGAAATGGATTTTTTCTTTAAAGAAAAAAAAAGAGGAAACATCATTACAAAATGTCTGGGACACGGCAAAAGCATACATGTGAGGATTAGTGGTAACATACATAGCGAGAAGAAACAAGAAAAACAACAGCAAAATATATTACAAGATGAGTTTAAAAGACTAGAGAGAGAACTGCAGAAGTATCTGCAAAAAAAGAAAAGAAAAGACAAAAGTGATTTAATAAAACATAAACTGAACTTAATAGTGCAAGATGAAATGGTACAAAAAATTAAAATGGTGAAACAAAACTTTTTAAAATATGCAAATAATCCAAGGTGATGGTTAGTGTACAAGTTGAAAAAAGAAAAAGAGAAGAAAATGATACACCAACTGCTAGATGAAAAGGGGATCCATCAGAATGGATCACCATCAGAATGAAGAAAATAACTTACAAATTCTTCAGGAAATTGTACAATCAAGAAAAAACACCAGAAGATACAACTTAACCATAACTGGAAAAGGCTGAATTACCCAAAATACCAGATACAGTGAGAGCAATGTTAAATGAAAGAATAATGACAATGGAAATAACGGAGGCAATTAAAAGACAAAAAAACAGGAAAACACCTGGACCAGACAGACTTCCTGCAGAACTTTACGAAAACCTACAAGAGACACTAGGACCCATATTGTTGGAGGTTTACAATGAAGCATTATCAAAGGTCAAACTCCCCAAAACTTGGACAGAAGTATACATTACACTAATCCCAAAGGAAGACACAGATCTTCAACAGATAAAAAAACTACAGACCAATATCATTATTAAATGCAGATTGTAAAATATTTGCCTCTATAACCTCAAAAAGATTAAAAAGATTTTTAAATGAATTCATACATCTTGACCAGATTGGTTTTTTACCTAAAAGACAGCAGAAAAATAACATGAGGATTATTATGAACATATTGGAATATTACGAAGTCCTCTCCAAAAAACAGCATTGACTTTTTTTGATGCACAAAAAGCCTTTGATAATATGAACTGACAATTTATGACACTACAATTGAAAAGCACGAATTTTGGTGAAAACTTTGTAAAGATCCAAGCACTTTATTCCTACCAAATGGTAAAAGTGATAATAAACAGAGAAATAACAGAAAATTTTAACATAAACAAGGGTACAAGACAAGGGTGTCCATTATCCCCCCTTTTATTTATATTAATCCTGGAAGTCTTACTTAGACAGACTAGACAAGACCCAGAAATAAAAGGCTTGAAGATAAAAAAAAAAACAATACGAAGTATTTGCAGATGACCTAGTATTTATTTTGGAGGAACCCCTAGAAACAGGATCCAAATTAATTTAAAAAATAGAAGAGTTTGGTGCGGTGATAGGACTTAAAATAAACAAGGGAAAGACCAAAATATTGACAAAGAATATTCTGTTTATCTTACAAATAAAGAGAAAACCAAACTGACGGAAAAGATGGAATGCAGATAACTAAAAAAGTTAAATACCTGGGAATGTGGTAACAGCAAAATATGCATCCATTAAAGAAGACAACTATACTAAATTGATACAGAAAATAAAGATGGATCTGGACCATCTTGAAAATGAGGGCTGAACTTATAAAAGGCATGAGCTCCAAAAATGCATTTGCAAGATCCCCCTAATTGTGTTTTTATGGATCTCATAATAAAGAGGCCAGTTGCTTAGCTGGCATTCTAGAAACTAACATGCCATTTAATTACAATGTAGCATTGTAATGAGATTTCTATGATTTTTGGCTTCATAAAATTTAAAGCTCACATGGGTTCAGACAAACCTGAGAATATTTTAGTATTACATTTAATATTAATATTAAATTGGAAAGCAACATAAAGTAGAAATATGCTGTTTATAGATTAACCTTACCATTAAACACTCTTGTAACCCAGCGAGCCTGAAGTTCCACTGGTGGTAAAATAGATCCCGTTACTGATATAAAACCTATGAAGGCAAGTGTGGGCTTCTGCAAGTGAGGAAGGAATACTTGTTTATAAAGGAATGTACTACTTTTGCAAGCATTGTGAAGAGATTCTTCCAGGAAAGGAAATGAAGCAGCATAGCCTGTAGTAAAAATGACCACATCTATATTTTCTTCTACAGTTCCATCTTCAAATATGGCAGAAGTCTCAGTAAACCTCTTCACATTTGGCTTTACAACCACTGAACCATAGAGGATGCAGATGGGCAGTTCGTCATTTACAATGATGTTTGACAATGAACTGTCAGAAAGAACAAAAGTAGAAAGAAGCACCATTAGCTCAACTATCCCCATTAGCCTAGTCCCATTGTCAGGTATTATCCTAGTTTTCTTCTGAAAGACTTACCTATTCATATTGACTCACACTGCATACACAAAAAATGTCAGCATGCCTTTTTACTCCCACTTCCACCACCTCCCTTACTGTAATTGCTTGCTTGGATATTAAATACTTCCAAATGTTGTTCTTCAATTGGTAGAATTAGATAGCAGATAGAAGACAGCAGAATTTTAATCCTAGTCTGGTTTGCCATCAACTGCTATAGAAATTTCTTTCTCCTCCTAATTTTATCTCAGATGTTTCAGTATGGCTAGACATAGATTATCCTCCAAATGAGATATGAGAAGTGACCTATGGTAAGTAGGTGACTGGCTGGTTAATCAGCAGAGGGCAATCAAATTGTTAACAGATCAGCCTGGGTGATAGATTTGGTACAGGGGCCTATAGGTATAATCTCTTCTTTGTGAGATGAGTTCTAACATTTCTAAATTCATTTCTTTTAAATCATCAACGTGCAAATGATACCCTGCCTTTAATGCCTTTTGTAACAGAGTTAGTGGTCAGTTCAACAATCTGTTTTTCTGAGAAAGAAAAAATAATTGTGTGTATCATAAGCAACAAGTTGCCCGATATGGATCTAAGAATTCTTTAGGAACATAGTTCACAGAACACTTTGGGAAAAGGATCAAAAATCAACACATAGTCTAGCTCAGGGGTTGCCAACCTTTTGGACCTCAGGGACCACCAAACTCATAATTTTAAATCCCAGGGACCATTAATATGAATTTTGACTGATGGTGGCTTGCTGACGCTGGTGGGAGAGAGAGAGAGAGAGAGAGAGAGAGAGAGAGAGAGAGAGAGAGAGAGAGATTTAACCTCTCTCCCTCCCTCCCTCCCTCCCTCTCACATGCACACACACAAACACACAGAGGCAGGGGTGGGATTCAAATTTCTTAACAACTGGTTCTGTGGGCGTGGCCTAATTTGTGGGTATGGCTTGGTGGTCATGTGACTGGCTAGGTATGGCCTGTATGTAAATATTATAAATATTTATGTAAATATTGATTTTTTTTTATAAAGAAAGAACAACTTTTACCCAAAATCAGGCAAAACAGGCAGGCAGATTGAGTTGCTCACAGATTCATTCAGAGATTTATCTATCTGCCATCGGCTACCTGAGTCTGTCACATAAAATTTGCTGGCAAGCAAACTCATAAAATTTTCTAGTAAGCAAACTCACAAAATTAACTCACAACACACCATGTATGTAAATATTGATTTTTTATTAAAAAAAGAGCAACTTTTACCCAAAATCAGGCAAAGCAGACAGGCAGATTGAGTTGCTCACAGAATCACAGATTCATTCAGAGATCTATCTAACTGCCATTGGCTGGCTCAGTCTTTTACATAAAATTTGCTTGCAAGAAAACTCACAAAATTAACTCACAACATACCATTTATGTAAATATTGCATTTTTTTTTTTAAGAGCAACTTTTACCCAAAATCGGGCAAAGCAGGCAGGCAGATTGAGTTGCTCACAGAATCATTCAGAGATCTATCTATCTGCCATCGGCTACCTGAGTCTGTCACATAAAATTTGCTTGCAGTGAGTCTGCACTGAATAATAGAAGCTTCAGTCCTAAGGAAGTTTCGGCCATGCTTAAAAGACTAGATCTAAAGACTAGCTATCTGATGATTTCCTGCTTTCTAGCTAATCTAAATCTTCCGGCACAGCAGAACAGCTGATGGTTGGGGGGGAGAAAAAAAGGAAAAATTACAATTTAGCAGCAAATTTGCCAGGTAAGAAGTGAATGGGCGGGGAGGGTTCCCATGGGCCATGTGGGTGGCTGCGCAGCCTGAATTAATTGCTTTGGGGGGTGCTCTGGGGGTGACATTTCTCTGCGGACCATTCAAATTTTCTCGCAGCCCACCGATTGGCAACCACTGGTCTAGCTAGCAATTTTAACAGTATATATTTCCCTTGAGGAAGCAAAGTTTGTTAAAAATGCACTGGGAAAAGAAAATTTGTCTTGCAAAGAGCAAATTAGTTTTTGTTTACTAGCAGACTTCATATTTTGTAAGTAAACTCAGCATTTGGCGAATACAATGTTATGCATAGTAAAAGAGGTTACCTTTTAATAGGGATTAATCCATAATTCTTATGGTTAAACCATTGATTGAATTTATTTGCCAATAACTTGTCCCTAATGCTGATAGGAAGAAGTTTTTGAATGTAGAATATAAATCGAGTTTGGAAGACCATATCGTTAGGCCAGCCAGCTTTTGACATCCGACTTATTACCCAGGCTCCATTTCTGGTGCTGAGAAAGACCTAAGGGGCGAAAAACTGAAATGAGTATTCTTAGAAATTCTCCAACTACTGATGAGTGGGAAGTGATCTAGTCTAGCAGTAAAAGGCAAAAAGGAGGTTAAGTCCTTTGGTAAGATAGACAGAATCACCACACATCCAAAACAAACACTTTAAAACAATATCCCATGGAGGCACATGGTATGGAAGAGCAATATTGTATTAGGCTTACAACTAAGGACATGAGTAATATCTAATAATGCATGACGTATAAGGGGCTACAGAATATGGCAAGCTAAACTTTTGGCAATATTTTCAAGAAAGAATTAGAAAGCAATGCAAGAGGGGCAATAATTCTGAAATACAGAGAGTTCTCAGCTTATGACCAAATTTCTGTTGTTAAGCGAGACAGCTCTTAAGTGAGTTTTGTCCCATTTTACAACCTTTCTTGCCATAGTTATTAAATGAATCACTGCAGTTGTTAAATTAGTAATATGGTTGTTAAGTGAATCTGGCTTCTCCATTGATTTTGCTTCTCAGAAACAAAAGTTGATCACATGAGCTCAGGACATTGCAATGGTCATGAATATGAACTATTTGCCAAGCATCCAAATTCTGATCACATGTCCATGGGGATTCTGCAACAGTCGTAAGTGTGAAAAACAGACATAAGTAACTTTTTTCAATGCCATTGTAATTGAACCATCACTAAATGAATGGTTTTAAATCAAGGACTACCTGCAGTCAAGGAACATTTGATTGAATCATTATGAAGTTTTAAAACAGGAACATTTAGGTGCTGTCTATCAACCACCAGGCCTTTCGTTAGAATTTTGCAGCCCAGAAATAGTTTTCTGAACAAAGCCTTTAGAACTATACTTGGAGAAAATGGAAAACAACTAAAGTAACAGATAAAATGAAAGCTTTCAGGAGATGCATGTGCTTAGACCGGCTTTGTTGAAATAGCTATGGCAGTCATAGTCAGCAACTCAAAAGAAAATACTGTAGTAATAAAAGTTGTACTTAATGTTTATTTGTCATGCACTTAGCACAGGCGTGGGATTCAAATTTTGTAACAACCGGTTCTGTGGGTGTGGCCAGGTGGGTGTGGCCATGTGACTGGGTGGCCGTGGCTTCTTTCTTTGGCAGCAACCCCACCCCTCATTTTTTGGGCATCCTGGGCTTCAGGTGTTTTTGCTTCCAGAAGGCTTCCCTGGGGCCCAGGAAGGAAAAAAACAGAGAGAGGTGGGGGGCTGTGCCCCCCTCCATTTTTTGCCTTCCTGGGCCTCAGGGAAGCCTCCTGGGCAAAGTAGTAAGTAAGCGAGGGGAATCCCGGCACAGCTGATCGTAGGAACAGCTGGTCGTTGGGAGGGAATTAAAAAAAGAATTACCTTAAGGAGTGACTGGACAGGGAAGGACTCAGCGATGTCGGACATGTGCGTGATGTTGCGCATGCGCGATAAGGACTGATGGGGAAGGGAGGGGAGGGTCTGATGGAGAGCCAGGGGCATGATTTGCTGGTTCTCTGAACTGTGCAGAATCATAACAACCGGTTCTATAGAACCGGTAGAATTCCACCCTGACTTAGCATATGACTCCTCATGAAAGGAAGAGTGAAGGAGCACCAAGTAGACCCTGTCTTTGCACTAGAGATATGGCAAAAGCATGCTTCACTGATTCTGACTTTGCTCTTTTAAAATTGATATTGTGTAATGATGATGATGACTCCAAGATGACCACTTATTTCCTACTGAAGAGTAGGAGCATAGCAGTCACTGATTCAGCAAATGATACCTTGGCAGCTGTGCGGCTCATTTCCACAGCAACATCTCCTCCGGTATTCCCAGCACCAAGTATCAGAACTTTTTTACCCTCCATCCCTTTTGCATCTCTGTATTCCCAGCTATGCATGTAATGACCTTTAAAGTTTTCCAATCCTGTAAAATGAGAGAGAAGACAATGTCACGTTTCATGACACATTTCTCCCTGACAATAAAACAGTTCTTTTTTCCATTATTACCAGCTACTCAATACAGTGCCAAAGGTTCTTTATTAAACTTTACAGTGTTTATTCATATATATCAGAGGCTATCTGCCAAGAGAGTTAGAGGAAATACTGTACCATAGCAAGAGGCGGCTACGTGGCCCATTTTTTAAATTGTATGCAAAAAGGCTGCCCCAAACCTTGGATTTAATCCTCTCAAAGGGGCTTCAAAGCATCTGAGTGCAAATATAATACCTCTAGGCAACACCTTAAAATGTCCTTTTCTGTATTGACTCCCTAAAGTTTTTTAGAAGCACTTGGTTGGATCTATTGGCAACATTATGCTGGACTAAATAGTCCAGGTCCACTGAAGCTCTGATATTATCAGATTTATTCAACTGTAAATGGGACTGATTTCCTTCTGTTTTTTTTTTCCATGTAAGAAGGCAACTTGTTTTGTTGTCTGTAATACCATTTAATTCTTCTGCCTCAGGCAGTGATTGTAATGATCCATCTCTCATCTACAAGAAATTGAAATCCAAAAAGGATATGACGGGAATTGTGTAATTTTGATAACATAAATAGCTGGAATGGGTGGAAATGGGGTAGACTAAGACAACAGGTGAGATAAGGTGGCTTTAGGTCTTTATCCCTAGTATAATTCCCATTATAATTGCCTCTCTGCTTTCTGGGTCTGCTGTACTTCGTGGGAGAAAAATATTTTGGAATCATTCTTCCCATTGAAAATAAGCAAGCATATGGGGAAGATAGCAATTCTCATAAGGCAAAAACATGTAATAAAATTGCTTTTTGCCCAGACCACATAACACTATATCCTTCACCACTGGCTATTTATTGTTCAAATTATACATGCCAAGACTGGAAAGGAAATTTTAGTATGATCTAGGATAGTCCCAACAGTGATTACTGACAAACGGTACTCAATGAGTAGTCCTTAATGGTAACACATCAAATGGAAGGAAGGAAGCAGTGGGATACCAGAAAGTTCAGTATTAGGCCCAGTACTCTTCAATATCTTCATAAATGACTTAGATGAGGGAATAAAAGGGGAACTCATCAAATTTGAAGATGACACTAAGCTGGCAGGAATAGCCAACATCCCAAAAGACAAGCTCAGGATCCAAAAAGTTCTTGACAGAGTTGAACAATAGGCCCTATCCAACAACATGAAATTTAATTTGGAGACAAGCAAGATTTTACACCTAGGCAGGAAAAACCAATGGCACAAGTAGAGGTTAGTTGAAACCTGTCTCAAAAACAGTAACTGTAAGAAGGACCTTGGAATCCTAGTGGACGATCACTTACTGTAAGCATGAGTTAGCAGTGTGCGCGGCAGCCAAAAAAGCTAATAAAATCCTTGGTGGTATAAATAGAGGCCTAGAATCAAAATCACGTGAAGTGTTAGTATCTCTTTATAAATCCTTAATAAAACCACACCTGGAATACTGCATCCAGTTTTGGTCACCACATTACAAAAAAGATGTTGAGACTTTGGAAAAAGTGCAGAGAAGCGCAACTAAGATAATTAAGGGCCTGGGGACAAAAACTTCCATGAAGAACAGTTGCAGGAATTGGATACGGCCAGTCTAGAGAAAAGAAGGACTGGAGGTGATATGATAGCAATATTTGAGGAGCTGCCACAAAGGGGAGGAGGTCAACTTATTTTCCAAAGCACCAGAGTGCAAGACAAGAAACAATGGATGGAAACTGGTCAAGGAGAGAAGCAACCTAGAGCTAAGGAGAAACTTCCTAATGGTGAGGACAATTAACTAGTGGAGTAGCTCGCCTTCAGAAATTGTGGGTTCTTCATCACTGGAGGTTTTTAAGAAAAGACTGGACAGCCAACTGTGAAATGGGATAGGGTCTCCTGCTTGAGCAGGGGGTTGGACTAGAAGACCTCCAAGGCCCCTTCCAGCTCTATTCTGATTGATTGAATGCCACTGATGGTTGGGCATGTTTCTTCTGCTAATCCGCTATGGAAGACAATGGGAAGACTACAGGTAGTCCTCAACTTATGACCACAATGGAACCACAAATTTCCGTTGTTAAGTGAGACATTTGTTAAGTGAGTTTCTGCCCATTTTATGACCTTTCTTGCCAGGGTTGTTAAGTGAATCACTGCAGTTGATAAGTTAGTAATCTGGTTGTTAAGTGAATCAGGTTTCCACATTGACTCTGCTTCTCAGAAGGTCACAAAAAGTGATCACATGACCTTGGGATACAACAATGGTCATAAATATGAATCTGTTGCCAAGCATCTGAATTTTAATCACAAGATTGAGGGGATGCTGCAAAGGTCATAACTGAAAAACTGTCATAAGTTGCTTTTTTAGTGTCTGTTATAATTAAATGAACTGTTATAAATTGAGGATTGCCTGTATTATTATTTTAAGTTGGTGTGTAGTTGGCCTCTAAAGTGTCTTGGCAGTTTTATAATAAAACAACTATCTTGAAGTTAGATAGATAAAATAACAATTAAAAGCCAGAAAACAAGTGAAGCAAATAAAATGAATAATAAACAATTAAGCAACAGTTATAAACCAAAATGTATTTTAAGGACTTTTTTTTTTAAGTTAATGGAAACATTAGGACCTTGAACTCTGCAGGAAAAACATTCCAAAGAATTGGAAGTGTCAGCCAAGAAAGCTTGACCTTAGTCAATGCCAGATGAAACCCCTGTAGGTAAACATCATCACTGCTGTCAGCAAAGTTCCTATAAAAAGAAACATTCTCTCAACCAGCTTGGACCAAAGTTTTGTAGTACTTACAACCAGCATTTTGGCAGAAAACGAACAAAGCAGCCAGTGCAATAATTTGAGTACCTGTATTAGTGGTGGCTAACCTTTTTGGGCTCCTGTGCCAAAAATTATGTGCGCGCTTGCACACTCACCCTCACATGCCAGCACCCAGAAGGCAATGCGCCCCCCCATGACCCCTATGCATGCGCACCCCACCCACCCACCCCGCCACCCCCTTACCTGCACTGCACCTCACAGCTGATTTTCAGCCGATTTGAGGCCGAATACCGGAAGTGACAAATCGGGGCTAGTTTTTGGCCTGTAAAGCTTGCAGAAGCCTTCCTCAAGCCTTTGGGAGGCTGAAAAAGGCCTCAAACTGGCCAAAAATCAGCTGTGAGGTGCGCACATGTGCTGTGAGGTAAGTTTGCCTGCAGCTTGTGTGCTGACACAAATGGCTCTGCGTGCCACTTATGGCACGCGTACCATAGGTTCACCATCACGGACCTATATCATATGGGCTCTTTGCATTGCCCCCCCAAACCAGTTTGGCTCTTGATTTTTATATAAACAATTTCTAGACTAAGTAGACCCACATACAGCATGTCACCTTTGTTAAGCGTAGAAGTCACCAGCACGAGTCCTGTACTATTTTAAAGTCATTTTTGTCCCCTCCCCCCTCAAAAAATGCATTTGGCTTTTTCGCCCATGATCAAATAATGGATAATCAATTTTATTTTGAATCAACCTGGCACTACAAAACAGCAAGATCAGTTTTTTTTTTAAATAGCTGGAACCACAATCACATTAGCTTAGTTGAATTTAGCAAATTTGTTCAAAACTCACCAGGAAAAGAAGCTAAGGGCAGATTAACTTCTGCATAATGGCCACTGCAAATCATGACTGCATCAAAGACAGTTGATGCCTGTTTTCCGTTAGCCTCTGTGTAGACCACCCACTGTCCAGTAGTTGTGAAATCTGGATGTTTTCTGACGCTGTATACCTTAGTCTTGTATAACCCCCAAACAAAACAAAATAACTCAGCATCATTATAGAGTGATGACATTCCCAATTTTGTTGTTATTTTGTGTTCTATTGAGATTTGTAGAGATTACTAGATAAGAGAGTAGAACTTCTCAAAAAAAAACCCTTTGCATACAAGTTAACAAGAATATTAAGCATTCAGAAGAAATTCTCGGTTTAGTATAAATCTCTCACTGCTATCCACATCTAGCAGGGTGTCTCTTTTTCTATGTAAGCCAATCTAAATGGTAAATTCCATGTTTTTATGTGGTATAACCCAGAACAGGTCCCTTTCAGTCCTATGATTCTATGGCATCTCTCTAGTATAGTGGAATCCTAATATTTTTAACATATCCTAGTGGTTGAAATCCTATTCTGGCTGTTGCAGAAATATCTATTTTCCCCTCACCTTAAATTGTATGCAGTCCAGTAGGTGAAAATGTTTAGCATAATCCTTGAGGTACTCCAGGACTAAGGAGTGATGTAGATAGTTAGGATAGCTTTCTGGAAATGGGAAGTCACTGAAGCAGGTCATTTCCTTGGACGTGTTGCTCACCACAGATCTGTAAACACTGGTCCTTCCCTTTTCAGGAATGTCCTGTACAATGGTTTTATATAACATAGTAAAATGATTATAAGCATTTAAAGATCATTTTTGAAAGTTTTACAAGGCAGCCTACTATTTAGAGGTGAAACTCAAAAAATTAGAATATCGTGCAAAAGTTCATTTATTTCAGTAATGCAACTTAAAAGGTGAAACTAATATATGAGGTAGACTCATTACATGCAAAGCAAGATAGTTTAAGCCATGATTTGTCATAATTGTGATGATTATGGCTTACAGCTCATGAAAACCCCAAATCCACAATCTCAGAAAATTAGAATATTGCATGCAATCAATAAATCAAGGATTGTACATAGAACAATATCGGACCTCTGAAAAGTATAAGAATGCATATATACTCAGTACTTGGTTTGGACCCCTTTTGCAGCAATTACTGCCTCAATGCGGCGTGGCATGGAAGCTATCAGCCTGTGGCACTGCTGAGGTGTTATGGAAGACCAGGATGCTTCAATAGTGGTCTTCAGCTCTTCTGCATTGTTCAGTCTCATGTCTCTCTTTCTCTTGGCAATGCCCCATAGATTCTCTACAGGGTTCAGGTCAGGCGAGGTTGCTGGCCAATCAAGCACAGTAACCCCACTGTCATTGAACCAGGTTTCGGTGCTTTTGGCAGTGTGGGCAGGTGACAATCCTGCTGGAAAATGAAGTCAGCATCCCCATAAAGCTCATCTGCGGAAGGAAGGATGAAGTGCTCCAAAATATCCTGGTAGACGGCTACATTGACCCTGGACTTAATGAAGCACAGTGGACCAACACCAGCAGATGACATGGCTTCCCAAATCAACACAGACTGTGGAAACTTCACACTGGACTTCAAGCGTCTTGCAGTGTGTGCCTCTCCATTCTTCCTCCAGACTCTGGGTCCTTGGTTTCCAAATGAGATGCAAAAGTTGCTCTCATCAGAAAAGAGGACTTTAGACCACTGATCAACAGACCAGTTCTGTTTTTCTTTAGCCCAGGTAAGACACTTCTGACATTGTTGTTTGTTCAGGAGTGGCTTGACAAGAGGAATACGACATTTGAAGCCCATGTCCAGGATCTGTCTGTGTGTTGTGGCACTTGATGCACTGACTCTAGCCTCAGTCCACTCCTTGTGAAAGTCCCCAACACTTTTGAATGGCCTTTTCCTGACGATCCTCTCCAGGCTGCAGTATATCCCTGCTGCTTGTGTACCTTTTTCTTCCACACTTTTCCCTTTCACATAACTTTCTATTAATGTGCTTTGATACAGCACTTTGGGAACATCCAACTTCTTTTGCAATTACCTTTTGAGGCTTTCCTTCCTTATGGAGGGTATCAATGATGTTTTTCTGCACAACTGTCAGGTCAGCAGTATTTCCCATGATTGTGATTCCTAGTGAACCAGACTGAGACACCGTTTAAAGGCTCAGGAACCTTTTTCAGGTGTTATGGCTAATTAGCTGATTAGAGTGGGACAATTTGAGCCTAGCATATTGAACCTTTTCACAATATTCTATTTTTCTGAGATTGTGGATTTGGGGTTTTCATGAGCTGTAAGCCATAATCATCTCAATTATGACAAATCACAGCTTGAACTATCTTGCTTTGCATGTAATGAGTCTATCTCATATATTAAGTTCACCTTTTAAGTTGCATTACTGAAATAAATGAACTTTTGCACGATATTCTAATTTTTCGAGTTTTACCTTTATACAGTATACGTAATCTATTTTAGCCATGGGATAAATCTGGTTTTATTTAATTCTGCTGACCACTGATATGTAGCTACCTTTATTTTAATGACCTTAGCTGCCCAGAGTTCCTTTGGGCAACAAAATGAGTGACATATAAATATAATTAAGTGAATATTAATTAGATACGTGTTTGTGTATTCATTTGTTTGATTTTAACATTCCAAAGGACATTTTTTAGTGCAGGGAGGCTTGAGAACACAAAAAATGGTATCTGTGACACACTGATATCTATAGACATCATGCTTCCTATCTGTGAATATGTGTTTGAGAATGTCATTTTAGTGATTCCCAGAATGAGGTCATTTGGGGATGAGCATTGGAGTCTATATAACTAATCCTGGGAATATCTAGCTTCTCTGTAAGCAGAGAATGCCTGCTTTCTTTGTGCTTCATCAAACAGGAAAGGTTACAAAGGAGTTTTAATATGGTGAAGTCAATGTGTATATAACCACTTAAATGCGTGTATCCTGAATTTCATTATAGAAGCATAGAAAACTGATAGCTGAAGAGGACCTAGTGGTCCATTTCATCTGCCTTTTGGATGTTTTTGTTTATTAAATTAATTATTATTATTATTTAAATTATTATTTAAATTTAATTTAATTTTTTATATGTCCAACCCACATATGAACAGATCTTAACATATGAAGGTGCTAAAGTCCATGGGAATTATCAATATGAAGAGCATTGTTTTCTCAGTGTTTCTCAACAATGCTTAATTAAAGAAAGGTTTCCTAATTTTTTACAGACTGCCTGTAGGCAATTCAGGGTTTTTATCTCCCTGCCAACTTTGGAAAGAGTCACAGCCAGATAACCAATGTTCTCAACCAACATTCACTTGAGCAATCTCTCTAAGAGCCCCACAATCTCTGACTGCTGCCTCTGAACTTGTGATGTCTGGGATAAACAAAATCCGTGAAAAACTGCCTGTAGGGATGAAAATTTCCTGAAGGGCTGGATTTATTTTCTTCTCTGGTTAGCTGACAGGGTTGGGCTGGTCTCAGGGTGGAAGTGATAGATATCTGCTCTTTTGACAAGGTTCATGTATTGTACTTCTCATCCAAGAAAGACACACAGAAATCTTGGTTGCATTTGGCAGCAGGGCAGCTTTCTCAAAGAGTTGCTTATAATGCTTCCTCCTTCTTTTTTCTCCAGACCTCCCACAGCTTCATCTTTTATTTATTTTCCCATTTTTTAGTCTGCCTGTCTTGGTACCACCCTTGGACCCTTCTGACCTCAGTATCAGTAATTAGATATTGTTTCTTGTACATATCTTTCCTCCACAGTCAAGTTAGCTTATAACTTAAAAACAGCAGCTTATAGTTGATCAGAGCAAAATTATCCCTTACTTTCTTTTTGGTCTATAGCAGGGGTAGGGAAGCTTGGCTCTTCTATCACTTATGGACTTCAAGTCCCAGAATTCCTGAGTGAGCCATAAAAGCTTCCCCATCTCTAGCCTACTGGTTTTTCAGTTGTGGGGGAAATCAATTTTTGACTTGAATGGGACTGTTTAATATACAAATGTAGGACATATTCTTTATATTATTATTCTTTATATTCTTTATATGTCCCACATTTGTATATTAAACAGTCCCATTCAAGTCAAAAATTGATTTCCCCCACAACTGGAAAAAAACAGTAGGCCAGGGATGGGGAACCTTTTATGATTCACTCAGGAACTCTGGGAGTTGAAATCCATAAGTGATAGAAGAGCCAAGTTTCCCTACCCCTGGTCTATAGAATCTTCCTATTAATTGGACTTCCAGTTTGCAAGGCTTTGGTGGCGGCAGGAATCTGTGATCGTGCGTGGTTTCTGCTGCGCTCGCCACTGGAGTGCCCCCGATCCAGCCAGATTTGGGGGCTAATAGTTACCCCGTAGAGGTAACTGAAGACAGGGGAGATCCAGCAGGGGTCCGGGGGAATCGCAACCGCCCTCCTCAGCTGTCTTAACTCCCTTTTCCGAAAGTGGTGGAGCGGCGGTCAGCAATGGCCGCCACAAAGAAGCTTTCATCCGGATAAGAATGTGCAGGAGGAAGCTGAGAAGTGAAAGGTTTTGGCTGACTGGGATAATAAGTAACATTTAAATACCCTGGAGTTTTAATTTCATTAAAGATACATCATTCCCAAAGAAGATTGGAAAAAGTGGTGGATGAAAGTTAAAAGGGAAAGTTTGTTTTTTCTCACTCTCCTTCCTTACGGTGATAGCAGATGGAAATCAGAAAAACCCATTTTGGCACCAGCAGGTAATTAAATTTGAAAATTAAAGCCAAGGGGACATTAAAGATTTCTGAACATTGGAAAGAAAAATATTTTTTTTTTTGCTATAAGTGGGAAGGGAGAGGAAAAGAATTAATATTAAGATTTTGCTGGAGGAGGCTGCTTGGATAAGACTAGAGTTAAATTGTAACAAGACTTCTAAAAGATATATTTTGGAACGTTGCAATTCAACTGTACCCCAGGAAGAGAAAGTATAAAAAGAAGAAAGTGCTAAATGAAACAGTTTGTGTATATTTGGATTGCTTGGTGGCTTTGGGACCTTTGGAAATTATTATTTGAAAGACTAAAAACATTTGGGTTGTTTAAATTTTTTTTTCCACAATGGCATTACTTGTTGATGAACTGAAAATGGAATTCAAAAAGCTAAAAGAAGAGGAACAAGTAGGGAAGGGCTCTTCTGGATCTGTTTTTTATTTTTAGAAATGGCGATTTCTACCTATCAGAAATTACAAGAACAAGAAGGTTGGGATGATGAAGAAGAAGCCATCTTTAATGAACAAACAACTTTAGCTGGGGAAGAAAAGGGAAAGAGGGGAAAGAGAATGGAGAATTTAAGACTTAAAAAAAAACCAAAAAAGGGAAAAATAAGGTGAAAAATCAATACAATGTCAGAAAGCAACAGAAAAGAGGAATACAGAAGAGGGTGGAGATTAAGAGGGTGGAGATCAAGAGACAGTGGGGTAAAAAGGCTAAATTGGAGAAGAAAGGAAGGGAAAAAGGCAAGAGAAGTTACAAAGGTTTGAAACAAGATGTAAAGAAACAGGACTTATTTAGAGATAATGGGTAAAAATATGATTAAAAATGAGATTCTGCAAAAGTACATAAGACTGTATTGTTGTATTTGTATTTGAAATAATGTTAGAAAACTGGATTATAAAATGGGATAAAATATTAAAAGGAATGTGTAAAATGCTTAAGATTTAATGATAGAGTTTAATTTGCTATGGATTATTGTTTTAATTATATTATAAACTTATTTTCCTATTTTAAAATATAGTACGTAGCTTTAGAATGTACTAAGCAGAATCAGAATGAAAATTATATATTATTTTAAGTGTTAAATTTAGGGGAAAGATATAAAGGCGTCATACTTCAATCAGTGATTACAGGAGAAATTTTGTGTTAATGAGAAAAGATAATAGATAATTGAAATAGAACAGACAAAAGATACAAGCATAATGATTTAAAATTGAGATGAAATAAATAAAGTAAAATTAAGAGAGTGAAAAGAGGGGAGAAGCTATATAGAAAATGTAGAATGGTAAATAAGATATGAAATGGTATATAAAGTGAGCATGAATTTGATTTATGTCTGTACAAAAAGATGTAACCCGGGACTAAGCCGCTTTCCAAAAAGAAGTTTTATGTTTTCATGTTTTGTGTTTTGTTTGTGTATGTTTGTTTATTGAAAATTAATAAAAAAAATTATTAAAAAAAAGAATCTTCCTATTATTTCATGGGTATTGTTTTAAAAATACTTTAATCATTGCAACATGATATCTGGAAGGCAAAACAGTTACAGATAATACTGTAGTCCTCAATTTATGACCACAATTGAGTCCAAAATTTATGTTGTTAAGTGAGACATTTGTTAAGTTTTGCCCCATTTTACGACTTTGAGTTGTTAAGTGAATCATTGCAGTTGATAAGTTAGTTACCTGGTTGTTCAGTGAACCTGGCTTCCCCATTGTTGCTGCTTGTCAGAAGGTCACAAAGGGTGATCATGTGATCCTGGGACACTGCAATGGCCATAAGTATGAACCAGTTGCCAAGCATCTGAATTTTGATCACATGATCATGGAGATGCTGCAATGATTGTAACTATGAAATTACATGTAATTATGTGTCATAAGTCACATTTTTCAGTCCTGTTGTAATTTTGAACAGTCACTAAATGAACTGTTGTAAGTCAAGGACGACCTGTATTTTAGTTTAATGTCCCTACATTTTCTTTGGTGGAACAAGCAAAAGAGGCCCACAGCACACAGGAGAAAAACCCCAAACTCCAGAATCTTTGGATTCAGGTGAAGTTCTTCTCTGTTAATGCTTGTAGAATTACTACAGTTTGATGGTTTTTTTCAGAATTTTAAATTTCAATTAGTGCTACTCACTGTGAATTGCCAAAGTCCTCCAATGGCTTCATTTTTTTCAAAGCAGGTAGGCTCCAGTCCTTCCTCTAGGCAGCACTTGATAGAGGCCAGCCCACTCACTCCTGCCCCAATAATGGCCACTTTTCGTCCCATAACTTGAGGTCAGGAAAGAGGCTTTTCTGAAGAGGCACCTAGAAAGTTGCACTGATACTAATTCACACACTTCTATCTGTTGGACACAAAGTGCAAAGGTTATAATTCCGTATCAGTACTTTTATTATTTCCTTGTGACGTTGCATAAGCAGGAAGCATTTCTCTCCTCCCTTAAGTATATTTTTGCCTGTAAATATCTGTTAGTTCAGTAAATTCAAGCACTGTTTGTGTTGTATATTGGAACACAACTTACTGTTCTTTTCTCAGGGAGGCTCTCTTGCCTCCTTTAACACTAGAACTTTGTTAATACTCACCATTCCTAAACAACGTTCTTCTATGAAGTGTCAGAGATACTAATAATAATGATAAAAATAAATATGGAGAAAACAGGGACCCCAGATTCTATTGGTTATGTGGTCATGAAAAAAGCGAAGTTAAAAATAAAAAAGTGAATGGTGCTACAATATAGCATTTTAAGTCAAGTTAATGAAAGTGGTTGCATTGCCAGGTCATACTATTTTTATTTTTAAACAGCTGGCTGTTGAATAAGTCAACACTTGCTGTTTTGGCACAACTTTCCAAACTCCATAAGATGGTTGGCATTTTGCTTTACCATGGCATTTTTAATTCTTTATTTCTAGAGGAGGTGAAGCTATAGTGAAGTCCAGAGTAAAGGCAGGGTCAATGGCTGTGAATGTAATTTGTCAGGATTGAGTCGCTACCACAGAGAAACGCAAAAGGTGACCAATAGTCACAGGAACTAGCTTCATCGCGTGATGTAACAATCATAGAGTTGGAAGGGACCTCAGAGGTCATCTAGCCCCTGCTCTTGCAGGAGACCTATACTATTTCTGACAGATGGTTGCCCACTCTCTTCTTAAAAGCTTCCAATGATGGGACACTCACAATTTTCTAAAACAATTTGTTCCACTGGTTAATTTTTCTCACTCTTAGGAATTTTCTCTTAGTTCTAGGTTGCTTCTCTTCTTGGTTAATTTCCATCCATTGTTACTTGTCCTGACTTCAGGTGTTTTGGTAAATACGTTGGCTCCCTCTTCCTTGTGGCAACCTTTCAAGTATTGGAATACTACTATCGTGTCACCCATGCTCCTTCTTTTCACTAGACTATATCCAGATCCTGCAATTGTTCTTCGTATGTTTCAGCTTCTAGGCCCCTAATCATTTTCGTTGCTCTTCTCTGAATTCTTTCCAAAGTCTCAATATCTTTTTTGTATTGGGGTGATCAAAACTCCATCCAAGAAAGGTTACAAGCCATTTAGCATTAGTGGACAGTTGCTGGTAATATAGACTGAAAGGAAGGCAAAGAGTTAAATGTTGTGATGGCAGCATAGTTCCTCCCTTATTTGTGTATGAATTTGCAGCAGATCTACTCCCGGAAGGTCTGCCTGAGTTTTCCTGCACTCCTAAGCATTAGTCTTTCTCCCATTCCTGTGTATTCTCTACAAGCATCAGTTTTCTCTGGGGAGAAATCTAGATTTAGTAGATTCTGGATTAATTTCCTTGACATGGAAGAACATTGCACAGACCAGCCTCAGCTTGAATTGGGAACTGTGCCTTGATCATTTCTTCTGGAGCTCATTCAGTAGTTCTTCTTCATTTGAGGATTTGTCAGAGGAATGCACGACAGCTCTAGATTTAACTGTATAACTGTGAACATTAGAAGTATGCTAAATTTATTTTGAATTTTGAAAAATAAAATAAAAATAGCCAGAAAAGGATGTAGTTAAAAAAATGCAGAATTCATTTCTCAGAAGAACTTCAAGCATTTCCCTTCCCCAAACAACTATAGAATGGTTAAAATTTTTGTATTTAATTTGTAGAGATTAAATGCTGACCATGAAGTAAATTGCGGACTATCACAAATATTCTGTCTTGCACAAAAACAATTTGAACTAATTTTTGTTTCCTCTACAACTGCATAAAATTTGATTTTTACTTTTTTGCAACTCTTCTTTTTATAAAAAAAAAACCCTCATTCTCTCTACTGCCAAAACATCCACAGAGATGCAGTATGTGGACTTGTTTTCAATACAGTATTGCAGCTAAAATATAGAGTGCAGGGAAAATGCCTCTTGCCACTCAAAACCAGCTGAGTGTATAAAACCCTTATGCGGATTTGTCCTAGGGCTAAAGAATGTTTTCCCCATAACGTATTTCTGAAGTTGCTTTCCGAGCATACTTTTTGCAAATAAAATCATATTCATATGATACTACTTCCTGATATTGTAAGTTTGAGCTCGTTTATTTTACTTCTAAAAAGTGTTTGCCTTCCTTGTTCTGTGATCACAAGGATATTTTTCAATGCATTCTACAGGATACTTCTGTATCATTCATATTCATATATTATTCATCTAATGAGTTGTTGATTAATAAACTGTTTGCAGAACCTACCTGTACAAATTTATCTGCCGTTGGCCAAAAATCCAGGCCAAACAAAGGAATAGAAATTAAAATCTGTTGTTACAACTGTGGTTAAGAAACAAAAATGCTCCAGATTTCTTTCTCAGGAGCAGCATGAATGTAGCATTTCTAAAAGTTTAAGTGTGGAGGAGGAGCTAAGGGGGAAAGAGAAATCACTTGCATTTATGCTGTCCAAAGCATTTTGACTCATCTGTCAGGAATTAAGAACAGAAAGGAGAAGTGGGGAGGGGCAGAGAGGAGTGTGAAAATGATCCATCCAGTAGCTGCTTTCACAGCTGCTTTTGAGGGAGGGAGGGGTTAAAAGAAAATTATTGTACATACCTTAAATTGGTGAGGTAACTGAAAGGAATGTTCTCTTCTGTTCTCTTTAATCCACAAACTTTACTGTAAATAGATAACTCTCTTCATACAGCTTTATAGAAGACAGAATTGCATAATCCACCACAGTTATGGGGAAAGTTTGTGGAGAGGTTTATTAAACTTTGCAGTGTTTCCATTAACCCAAACTCTCATTTTAACAGGAAGCACTTTCTACCTGCTTCAACTTTCCCCTCTTCAACTTTATCTTGACACAATGTTCCAGTAGTGTCTACATCAGAGGTGATATTCAACAGGTACTGACCAGTTCTGGGAAACTGGTTGTGGAAATTTTGAATAGTTCAGAGAACTGGTAGAGGAAATTTTGGAAGTAGTTTGGAATACCACCTCTGACTAGCCCCGCCCCCATCTATTCTCTGCCTCTCGAGTCCCAGCTGATCGGCTGGGTCTTCTTTTGTTTCCCTGCACAGGAGAAGGGAGCTAGAAAGCAGGTTAGTGGGGGGGGGGGGAAACAATGGGAATTTTACAGTATCCTTCCTCTGGAGTAGGGTGGGAATGGAGATTTTGCAGTATCCTTCCCCTGCCACGCCACACCCGCCATGCCACACCCACAGAACTGGTAGTAAAAAATTTTTGAATCCCACCACTGTTCTACATAAAGAGATTTATTGATATATTTACATACATTGTTTTTCCCCTTGAGAACTACACAAATCATAACTTGCATTTGACTTGACTAACAGCACCAAATAGAGATATGATTCAGGCTTTTCCCTACCCGCAAAAGGCTTTTTTCTCTTGCAAAGTTTACAGCTGGCAGATATTATCTGAGTAGTTTTAGTGGGCTTATCTGCAAGCCTCAGATCAGAGGTGGTATTCAGCAGGTTCTGACCAGTTCTGGAGAACCGGTAGCAGAAAATTTGAGTAGTTTGAAGAACTGGAAAAATACCACCTCTGACTGGCCCCTCCCCCATTTATTCTCTGCCTCCTGAGTCCCAGCTGATTGGCTGGGTCTCCTTTTGTTTCCCTGCGCAGGAGAACGGAGCTGGAAAGTAGGTTAGCGGGGTGGGGAGGGAATGGGGATTTTACAATATCCTTCTCTGCCACACCCACCAAACCATGCCATGCCCACGAAGCCATACCCACAGAACTGGTAGTAAATTTTTTTGAATGCCACCACTGCCTCAGATGCTGAATCCTCCAGATTGTCAGGCCTGAAATTGATATATGTGTAGCCATTTTATTTAGCCTTATTATATATTCTTTTTCTTTCTTTCTCTTTGTTATGCGGGGAAGGGTTTCAGGCTTGCCACATTCCTAAGGTGGGAGGAGTGTTGATGGGGTTGTTTAGTCTAGATGGTTCTTCTTCCCATGGGAACACGAGCTGTCCCTGCAGAGGCCTTGAAGTGGAGATTTATGACACCAGTCAACATTGAATTACTTCTATTGGGGAATGTGACTTTTGGGGGCTGTTTCTAACTTCCAATATTATGTGGTGTAATTCCATGTTGTGTCAGATCCAGAATTACAACAGACTTTGCCAATTTTATGCTTTCCTAAATAAAAAAAATATATTATGGAAGATGGAATTTCTTTTTAAATGGATTTCATCACTTGGAAATATTGTGACACCTGGAAAAGGTTGAGATGGTGAATGGGAGATAAGTGATTGTTCTCAGTCTTTCCAATAGCTTTGTTCCCAGGGCAAGTCCCAGATTATGAACATTTCACACAAAGAAGGGCAATGCTACTCAAAAAGAAAGATCCATGGAATAAGAAGGTTTCTATAGCCACCAGAATTACTGGAATTCTGTAGTATTGGGATTAAATTGCCTCCAGAAACCAGAATAGGACATCTACTATATGTATTCTTTTTCTTGGTCCAAGATTGTGATATTCAACTGGATATCATCTGCTTACCAATGATACCAATTAACTTCATATTAATGAAGGGTGTCAGAGTTGACCTTTACGGTGCAACATAGTGGAAGACTTTTGATATAACCTCTCTTTTGCTCCCCCAAATCTCCCCCTCAAGAAGGAACATTACTGTAAAATAGTGCCTCCCATTCCTCCTTGGACCAGGAAGTTACAGTATTTTGATAGATGTGATTACCATTATTCTTTGCTATATGTTGAAGTTATCAAAAGCTACTGAGAAATTCAGTAAGTCTATGAGAGTTGCACTAGTCATGTTCAAAGGTCATCCCCCAATATTATGGTCCCCCAGTAATATTTTCCTGTTGAATTGCATTGCCTTTTTTCTTGTATTGAGAGAGAACAAGCATTTTTCTTCTTGTAGGTCACCGTTTGTTCATGGACTTTTGCGTCCACCAGGCTCTCTATGTAACATTTAAAAAATTATTTAGATCCCTTTCCTTTAAAAAAGGAAGTAGCAATCTTCACAGAAAGTATCATTCACAGAAGTATTTATAGGCCTCATAACCAATATGCATTTAAAGATTGCAAAGAACCGGACAAATACCAATTTATAGGAAATTGAAAACATGCTTACATCATGAGATATATTGAAACACCTGTATCTTTCTGCTCTGAGAGCTTAAGGGAAGGGACAGCGTGTACCACTCTGATTTTACCTCTCTTCCTGAAATTGTTGGATAGCTCATACATGCACTGTATATATGGCTAGTGCTTGACTTAGAACAAGTCATTTAGTGAATGTCTATGGAGATTCTCAGTCATCCAGGTCATGGTTGTCCCATGCTTTTTCAAAAGGCAACTGGATTTTGTTTTTCCCTGAAGACATTTCGCTTCTCATCTAAGAAGCTTTTTTAGTTCAAACTGAATGATAGGAATTGGAAGGATTTATATTCCTTGTAGTCATCTGGTATTTAGTACTCTGAAAGTCGGTCATTAGTTCTCTGAGAGTCATTGAGACCAATTGGGGGTTAATCTGTGTCCTCAGGACACCTGAATCAGAGTGTAAATGGTTGTGAAACCTTCTTGGAACTGCTGAAAGGACTGTGTTGTAACAGGAGATAGGTGGTATCATATCTCTCCTCCTCTGTTGAAATGAATTGCTGAATCTTCTCCTGATGGATTTGTTCTCCTATGTTGTGCCATGCACTTGTGAAGTGGTTGTTTTGTTTTTCCAGTGTACAGATCTGCACATGTCTCATTGCACTGTATTGCAAATATCACATTGCTCAGTTTGTGTCTTGGTGTTTTATCCTTGGGGTGGACAAGCTTCTGACCTAGTGTATTCTTAGATTTAAGTATGTATGTATGTTGTGTTGGTTGAAAATCCTCCTGAGCTTTTCAGATATTCCTGCAATGTATGGAGTGAAAACATTGCTGTGTTGTTCTCTTTTTTGTCTGTTTTGGAGGAGCCTCTGCTGGTCTTTTCTGGATTTGATGAAGGCCCAGTTGGTATAGCCACAGGTTTTGAGAGCTTCCTCGATTTGTTTTAGCTGTTCTTTTCCCTCTTTGCTGGTAGGCACACCTTCAGCCTGGGTTCTTTTTGTTTTTTTTAAGTTTTTTATTTTAACAACAAAACAACATAGACATACCACATAAAACATAAAAATATCATCCTTCTTCATAAATTTACAAACAGTGCATCGGTTGGTTTACCACTTTTTTTTTGTGCATCCATTTCCTAGTCACTAATATAATTATATTACATAATAGCTCATATTATCAATCAATAATTGTATAACCTAATATCATCACTAAAAAAATCATTTATCTATAATTTTATTAATTCATACTTTAACGAAATAACTATAGTTTACTTAGTTTATTTTGCAATAAATCATAAGATCATACCAAATCTATCTTGATAATGTTTTATAAAAATAATATAAAAATTTTTTTTTTTATGCTAAGTCTGAATGTTCTATTATTATGCTTTATTATCTAACCATTGATAAAAAAGATCCCAAACTTCATAAAATTGTTTATCTTCTTGTTCTCTAATTTCAAATGTCAATTTACGCATTTCAGCACAATCCAATATTTTCTTAATAATATCTTCCTCTGATGGAGTTTTCAAACTTCATAAAATTGTTTATCTTCTTGTTCTCTAATTTCAAATGTTAATTTACTCATTTCAGCACAATCCAATATTTTCTTAATAATTTCTTCCTCTGATGGAGTTTTCACACTCTTCCAGTTTTTAGCAAATACAATCCTAGCCGCTGTTAATACATTTACAATCAAATACTTCAAATTTTTATTATATATATCAGGTAAGATTCCCAATAAAAAAAATCTCTGGTTTCAAGTCTATATGTGTCTTTGTCATTTTTTCCAACCATATGCGAATTTTAGTCCAATATTTTCTAGTGTCCTGACAAGTCCACCACATATGGTAGTATGAGCCAGGTATCTGATGACATTTCCAGCACTTTTCAGATTTGTTCTTGAACATTCTTGCAATTCTTGTGGGGGGAAAATGCCACCTGTAAAACATCTTATACAAGTTTTCTTTATAAGCTGTTGACATTGTCCTTTTATAATTTTGAAACCACAATTTTTCCCATTTCTCCAAATCAATCCCATATCCAAAATTCTTCCCCCAAACAATCATCGTTTCTTTAACTTGTTCCTCTTCTAATATTTTATTTTATTTTATTTTATTTTATTTTATTTTATTTATTTGTCAATTGTTTACAAGATAATAAGTATAAGTGTATACATAGTTATGAATACATGAAATGGGTACATATAAGAAAAATAAAAGAAAAATAAAAGAAACAATAGGACAGGGACGGTAGGCACGTTGGTGCGCTTATGCACGCCCCCTACAGACCTCTTAGGAAAGGGGTGAGGTCAATAGTAGACAGTCTAAGGTTAAAGTTTTTGGGGTTTGGCGAAGAAACTATAGAGTCGGGTAGAGTATTCCAGACATTGACCACTCTATTGCTGAAGTCGTATTTCCTGCAATCAAGCTTGGTGCGGTTAACCTTGAGTTTGTATCTGTTGTGTGCTCTTGTGTTGTTATGGTTGAAGCTGAAGTATTCATTGACAGGTAGGACATTGCAATGTATGATTTTATATACCATGCTTAAATCAGACCGAAGACGGCGTAAGTCAAGGTTTTCTAGTTCTAGAATTTCAAGTCTGGTGGCATAAGGTATTCTACAACGAGTAGAGGAGTGGAGAACTCTTCTTGTGAAATATTTCTGGACTTTCTCAATTGTGCTAATATCAGATACGTAATGTGGGTTCCAGACTGATGAGCTGTATTCGAGTATTGGTCTAGCAAATGTTTTGTATGCTCTAGTTAGTAGTGTGATATTACCAGAGAAAAAGCTACGTAAGATTAGGTTAACAACTCTTAATGCCTTTTTGGCTATGTAGTTGCAGTGGGCTCTAGCACTTAGATCATTAGAGGTGAGTATTCCAAGGTCCTTTACAGAGCTTGGATCATCAACAAGATCTTGACTATTCAGCTTGTATTTTATTTTTGGATTTTTTTTGCCAATATGTAAGACAGAGCATTTATTTGTTGAGATTTGAAGTTGCCATTTGTTTGACCATTCTGATACACAGTCAAGATCTTTTTGAAGGGTAGCAGTATTGTCTGTGGTATTGAACAGCTTTACATCATCAGCGAAAAGAACGCAGTTGCTCTTAATATGATCACAGAGGTCATTTATGTAGAGTATGAAGAGAGTTGGTCCTAGAACACTGCCTTGGGGGACACCACTATTGACAGGTACAGAATTTGATAGGACGCTTCCAGTTTTGACCATTTGTTGTCTGTTTGACAGGAATGCTTCTATCCAGTTATGCAGTTGTCCAGAGATACCATAGGATTTTATTTTTAGGAGTAGTTTGTCATGTACATATACATGACATGTATACATGTCATGTATATGTAATATAATTTCCAACAAATAACTGTATAATTTTTTAATCACTTTTTCATCAGTACCTGTCAAGATCCTGTCTAAATCAGTCAATATGTCATAAAATCCCTCCGTTTTAGAATCTATAAGATACCTTGAATGTATTTGCGCATATGAAAACCAATTCATCTTTATGCCTTGTTCTTCTAGTTTTTGCATTGTTTTAAGTTCACTCTTTTCATCCAATATTTCCCCATATCTAACTGTTTGTTCCTTCTCATATATTATAGGATAAGAAAAGGCTTCAATAGTTGATAGCCAGACTGGGATTTTCAAATAACATTTTCTCTTAATTTTCTCCCAGTTCAACCATAAAGACTCCCTTATATAATGCCTTCTAAAATAGCCCTGCGATTTAGTTCCCTTATACCACAGAAAAGCATGCCATCCCAGTAATAAATCATGTCCTTCTAATGTCAACAATCTAGTCTTTCTTAATGTTATCCATTCTTTAACCCACATTAAATTTGCAGCTTGGTAATACAACTCCCAATTCGGAAGGCCAAATCCTCCTCTAATTCTAGCATCTTGTAGAAGTTTTAATTTTATTCTGGCCTTCTTACCTTGCCATATAAACCTCAACACAATTTTATTTAGCTCTTCAAAGTAATCTTTACCAAGCCTAATTGGTATGGTTTGGAACAAATATAAAATTCTGGGTAAAATATTCATCTTGATTGTTGAAATTCTACCTATCAATGACAATTGTAGGTTTTCCCATTTCTTCAAATCAGATATTATCTGTTGTTTAAGTTTAATATAGTTATTCTCTTTCAATGTAGTGAGTCTTGACATCAAATGTATCCCCAAATATTTAACCTTATTCGTAACTTGAATTTTCAGTAAATCTGCCAGTTCATCTCTTTGTTGCCTGGGTTCTGACCACTCCCAATTTGTCTTCTGGTGTAACATTTTTTGTTTTTGAAATTTGCCATCTATTTCATTCCATAATTGTTATCATGAATAAAAACAGAAATTCTTGCTAATGACTAAGCAATGACATTTAAAATTATTAATGTAGTTAGTATAAAATTGTTTAAAGTGTTCATAGTATAATTTGTTTATTATAGCATATCTGACAGCAAAGTATCAATGGTATTAAACATATATTTTATATAATATTATTTAAAGTGTTCATAGTGCAATTTGCAAAGCATAATATCTTGACAGCAAAGATACCTATTGTCAAGGCCACAGTCTTATCAATTTAACATATCAAAACTAAATTAACAATCAAAAAGGCCAATGGATTGATGCCTTTGAATTGTGACAGTAGAGAAAGTTTTTGAGAATACCTTGGACTCTAAGAAGAATAATTTTTTCAGTACCAAAATTGAAGTAAAACCATACTGTTCACTGCAAGCACTAGCAATGAAGTTAAAGTTTAAATATTTTTGATGTAGTGCAAGCAAATTTCTTCATAGAAGGCACCAATATATGGCAAGCATAGAAAGAAATAGAAAAACAGGTTTTAATAGGCACAACTATTAAAACTGATATCATGAACATTAATTTATCTAAGATATGATTATGAAATTTCAGTTGAGTTCTGAAACTTGATATTTTTGTCAATTTTGTTTCACAATTTTTTCAATTATAGTTCCCGCTATATCTCATTACTAACAATGATGACTGTGCTTTGAGAGAATTATAGCATTAAAATGCATGCAAATGTAAATACAGATAAATTGAGACAGTAAGACAGGGACAGTAGGCACTCTGGTGTGCTTATGCAAGCCCCCTTTAAGGACCTCTTAAGAATGGGGTGAGGTCCACGGTAGGCAGTTTGAGGTTGAAGCTGTGAGGGGTTGAGGTTATAACAACGGAGTCTGGTAGGACTCCGTTATTACAGAGTCTTTCATGTCCCATTTCCCAAGGGATGAGGTTCAGCAATGCTGAAAGCAAAGTTCTAAGTCATCCTATATTCTCTACAAGTTTTCATTATTTAAAAGATAGCACAATGTCCTATGGAGTAAATTAATGTCCTGGAAGTACAAACATATCTGGTTGGAATAAAAAATACATGTGTTAATAACACACACACACACACACATGTGTTAATAACACACACACACACACACACATGCATATGGTAGCCAAACATATGAAATCACTTTGTGTTTAAATAGCTCATTAATAAATATGCTACTTAAAATAGGAAGATATTGCTACCACAAATGCTAAATGATTACAGTCCCTTGCTTCTAGCCATATAAGATGATTTGGGGTATAGTCTAAAACAGGGGTCTCCAACCTTGGCAATTTTACAACTTGTGGACTTCAACTCCCAGAATTCCTCAGCCAGCTCTGGGAGTTGAAGTCCACCAGTAGTAAAGTTGGTCTAAAACATCTGGAGAGTAGTAGATTGGGAAGGCTGACTTAACTAGTGCATGTCCAGTCACACAATAAACTTTTTAATATACTTTTTGTCTGATCAGCTCTGTAAACAGACACCATTATTGTTCATTAAACCAAAATTAAAATGAAGGCAACATTCAAACAAATCTTTTAGCCTAGCTTTCTTGCATTTGCAGTCAAAACAAGACATCTTATCAGCAGAGGGAGAGGGGTTGTACAGTTATTGGTCACAGACTCTGAAGAAAAAGTTAATTCCTGCACGGGAGCCTTCCAAATGAAAACAAGTTGATCAGTTTAAATCTGCAACACTGGCATGGAATTCTAACCTCTCTTTGAACACTAAAGATAGGTTGGTTTGGATCCCCTTTGGATGTTACCTTTTTATCTTTGTAACTGCATCCAGTTGGCCACTAAGACCTTAGTTTTAGGAGTAATTTGTCATGTACCACTGAATCAAAGGCTTTACAGAAGTCTATGTAGATTGCGTCAATTGCTTTGCCCTGATCAAGTTGTGTAGTCCATATGTTTTTACAGTGCAAGAGTTGCAGGTTACAGGACAGTTTCCTTCTGAAACCAAACTGTTTGTTAGAGAGTAGGTTGTTTGTCTTTAAGTGGAGGATAATGGATTGGTTAATAATTTATTCCATGACTTTACAGGTGACACAGCATAAAGAGATTAGTCTGTAATTTTCAACTAGGCTGGGGTCTCCCTTTTTGAAGATGGGGATGACTATGGCTAGTGACCATAGATTTGGCAAGGAGCTGGTCTTGAAAGATTTTTCAAAGATTATGCTTAGAGATTCAGCTATGGCAGTGGATAGCTTAATAATGATGAGCCCAAAATTTCTGTTGCTAAGCAAGATAGTTGTTAAATTAGTTTTGCCCCATTTTACAACCTTTTTGTCACAGTTGTTAAGTGAATCATTGCAGTTGTTAAGTTAGTAACACAGTTGAGAAATGAATCTGGCTTCCCCACTCACTTTACTTGTTGGAAGTAGCAAAAGGTGACCTCGGGACACTGCAACTGTCATAAATGCATGCCAAGCGATCTAATTTTGATCATGTAATCTTGGGGATGCAGTAACAGCTGTAAGCGTAAAAAACAGTAATAAATCACTGTTTTCAGTGACACTGTAACTTTGGATGGTCACTAATCAAATGTTTGTAAGTCAAGGACTACCTGCAATAGATATGCACCAAAGCCTCAGATTCTTTCAGATGCTGACTAGAAGGGTGATGTAATGGGCTGTGGAAGTAACCTTGTAAGACAGAAGGAAGAGCTGTAGTCTAAACAATGATCTGATGAACAAAATTTGAGGCCAAATGATGAATGCAGGTGGAAAAAACATCTCAGAAAGGACTTTTCCTAATTCTGTGGAAAGTAAAAGCAAGGGAGGGGAAAATGCTTTTAGACTTGCAAAATTCTCTTACTGTAACAATAAAGGTAGCTTTAGTTCTCATGTTTTGGTTTCCTTCCTGGATTACCTTGAAAGGCTGACAGGCAGGAAGAGGCAACTAAAATTACCAGATGAAATAAGAGTAATGCAAAGCAAAGTAAAGCAATGTAGTGGGTTTGCTTTTAGAAAGAAGAGTGGAATCCTTCACATGAAATATGGAATTTACTCAAACAATGTGGAGCTGAACCTGAATGATTTTGAAGGGGATTAGAAAAATACAGTAAGTCTGTCAATAATATTAATCACCATGACTCTGAGTACTGGCTTTTGGGGAACAGGAACTTTAATCATGTCCTACTTTTCTGGCCACAGAATGATCAATTAGTTGAAGCTTTTATATATTCTAGCAGGAGTTTTATATTACCTGAATGACTATAACAATCTCAAGAAAACGTCATGGCTAAAGCTGAAGACTAGATGATGGCTTTTGGGTGGCATATCAAGGCTGCCCTTCAAAAAAATAGTTAACTGGGTGAAGTTAACATTACATCTACTTTTAACTAAAATCAAACACAATGAATATGATTACTATCTGCTATCTGGTCAAGTACTAAATTCAAAGTTAATATTTTGCAATAACATTTAGAGAAGTGGTATGTGGAGCAGCACGTCCTTTTTAAAAAGAGAAAATTGCACCTTGGCTGTCCCAAAGTGGTCTGCAAAAACTAATTGAAACTAAGGTAAATTCCAACCAAGATAACAAATACAGCAAGCCCTTTCAATAGGCAAGAGAAACAGTTCGAGGAATCTTCCACAACCCGGGTTCTTGTGGGCTTCAGGACTCGTTCCCACTGGTTCAGGATGGTATTTCTGGCCCCATCCCACTTTCCTGGTCCAGTCAGACGATACTGGTAAGGAGAGCAGGGGCCAAAGAAAATCTTCATTGCTAGTATGGGATCTTTGAGAAGTAGAGCTGGCACACTAGGCTTTATACCAATGAGGGAACCAAGTTCATCACAGTACACAAGGCAATCTGTTTTCAAGACTTCATCAAAGGACAAGCCAAACCTTAATCAAATAGCACAAAGGAAGAGACAGGAAATATGTATAGTTAGTAAATTGAATATACAACCTGGCATTGAAAATTCTGTGCTTTTTCTTGGGGACTCTGGATCTTTAATATTTAGTTTCCTCCAAAACTTAACATTTCTACAATTCTGTTTGGAGACAATATATCATAGTTATGATTTAATTTAGATGCGCAGAAATATTTATCATTTGCTTTTTTGATTAAAAAAAAATTAACTTAGCAACATGTGAGATACCATTATTTGCCTCCTACAGCAAGGGCGACACAATTTACCACACTGCGGTATGAAGGCAGCACAATTTCAGTCAGCATTTCCAGTATCTGAAAGGGGCTCACATAGAACATCTTCCAGCAGTCAAAATGCTAGTCCAGGTTGTGAGGGAGGCCCTGAAGCACCTCCAAATGAAGAAGAGAGGTTGCTTCTGTGTTAGAAGTGAAGACTACTGTGCTCCTTTGTAAAACCCTTTAAAAGATGGATTTGTATGCCTCTTGACATAGGGAAAGTCAGCTTTGTAAAGGCTACTAGACATTTAGCCTATAACGCTATGCTGGGCAGTGAAAACAGAATCAATCCATCAGTTCAGTTGTTCTAATATTTTGTACTATATTATAGTTCAAGCAGTCTCATTCCTTGCATTTAAGATACATTAAAAGCTGACCATGCCATCAATATTTTTATGTAGCCTGCATGCAAAACAAATTCTTTGTGATTGAATTACAATCATTTGCCCTAGAAAATCAAAAGATTTGCAGTGGCCCCAGGAGAGCCAGTTTTATTTATTATTTTATTGCTTTTCTGAGCTAGAAGAAGAATTCTCATCAGGAAATTGGTTCATAGATTGATTGCTCCAGAAAATGGACAAAATCTGCATGCAAAATTTGAGGTATCACGTGAAGAAAATGTTCCTACACATAGACTTCATCTAACGACTGACCTATTTGTCATCCATTTGCAGTTGCAATGAGGATGAAAAAATAATTTCATGACCAATACCTTCATTTATTACTTTGCGGATCTATAAAGCAATGGAAAGCTGAAGTAAAATTATAAATATGGATGCGGTTAGCAGTCACTTCACTTAATGACCAATTTGTTGGTCCCAATTGTCATTAAACAAGATCTACTGTAAAGATTGTATTTCCATAGATCATGCTTAATGACCACAACTGGGACTGGCAATTCACTAACCACTGTGGCTGCTAATTGGAAAATCAAGTGACTGCAACAGGCATATGATGTCACTTCCCATTCAGTTGTTTTGGCAAATCACTGTGATTGATAAATGAGATATCACATGACTGTGACTTGTGATTTTATTTCTACATTCTCCATTAACTGTGCTTGTCAGTTGCAAAGCACATTAATAACAGTCATAAATGCAAGGATTGGTCACCAAGATAATTTGTTTAACATTGCTGTAACTTTGAATATTCGCTAAACACGAATATTGCTAAGTGAGATCTACCCCATATTCTTCTGAGCATCTGTTCACTGATTGGAAATACTGCCTGCCATTATCTTTGATTTAAAATTCAAGTTTCTCCCATTTGAGCTTTGTAATGCTAACACAAAAGTCAGCAATCATAGCATTTTGCAAGCTTTGCAAGGCAACTATCTTTCATCTACTACAGGGGTGTCAAACTCATGACCCGTGGGCCGGATCTGTCATGTGCTGGCAACGCCCAAACTCAGTTTAACAAAGGGGGAGGGAGAAATCCCGATACGTCACATGACGCCACCATGACGCCACGAGTTTGACATCCCGATCTACTAGGTTGAGGTGCCACCATGAAGAGAAGATGATGTAGTTCTCTAAAACTACAGATGCCACCAGACAAATGCACATAAATATAAGGGTGCAACTTCAAGGATTTTATCTATAGATCAGGAAGAAAGTGCTTGAAGCTGCTTTTTCTTTAAAGTTTTGCTTGTTTTTGTTATTTATGAGATCATGGAGTCTTAAACCAGATGTAAATATTAGCATGTTTTCCAAGAATAGTACGTTATTAAGATATTCAAATTATATCACCATGAGCATTAAAACAGCCCTCTAATAGAACTGAATTTAAAATCAAACTGGTCATGAAATGGCTGTATACAAGATTAAATCTGGTTTAAATCAATTAACATTTATGGAAATAAAATTTGGTTCTCTCAGCATTTTTAACTATATTGCCAGTACTTAGCCATGTGATCTGAACTAGTAGGCTTAGGCTATTACGTACTTGAGGATTTTATCTATGTCACACCAATTCCTCTTAATTCTGGACAAACATCTTTGGTAGAGATAATAGTTCCCTTTTCTCTCATTTGAAGCAGCTTTAGTTTATGATTAGACTGTTTATCTGCCATGCAATACAAAAGTATTAGCAATCAATGTTTACACTGTATACATTTTTTAGTGTTTTCCAAAGATCAAACATGTGTTGGGAGCTGGTCAGCTAATAATTGCAGTGCATTTTTTTTCCAGCCAAGGAGATTTGGTCCAATATGGTCTTCATTACATAAAAAGACTTACCTGTTAACTTTGTTATTTTTCTTTTCATTGATTTCTTCCATCATGGTTTTGGCTGGAGGCAATTTACACAAACCTGAAAGGAGAGAGAATGTTTCAGCAATATTTTGGAGGGGGGTGGGGTTGCATCAAAGCAAGTCAATGAAACTTTAATGGAAGATTATTACCAAACAAAAAACTGTCAATCTTTCAAAGAAGATGTAGCAAATTTTAAAAATGCCCAAATAGAAATGATCATGAGATTATCATGTAATTGGGTTCAAATTACACTTGAAGGTGTACTTTGTTTTCCATAGGGGTATATTCTGAGAATTTAAATGGATGTAAGTTGTCACCCCAAGGCTTCCTATTACTAATTTCACCTTAATCTTAAAAACACCAACAAGAATGAAGAGATGAAGTAAATAAATGGCTTTAAAGAGTAGAAGTAAGAAGGGATTTGTGCCTCAGTTCATCTAAGGCATGTAATGAGTGCAATCTTTGGAATGGAAGTTATTCTGGAAATTAAATGGAAATACTATGAAATTAGAATAGGCCCCTTGAATCTCCAAGTACTTCTATTTTAGAAGGCAGAAAAATGAAGGCGAAACGCCCGCTCACCAAACCGGTTGTTACACTGGTTGAATCGCACCACTGTGTTACATGCAATGATAACCCTATTAATTTTAGATTGTTGGGGATAGAAATGTTCTGTATCCATTAATTCCCTGTCCCCACTGTTTAGTTTAAATGTTTATCCAGAAAATGTGTGAATTTAATGCCAAGTAACTCGGTCCCTTTCTTTGATGGATGCAAACTATCTCTTTTGCACAGTTACTTTTAAAGTATACCAAGTTTAGTTTATATTGCCACTCTGTTGTCCAGCAGATTGCATATAAAATAGATATGCTCAAGAACTCATTAGAGCAGGAGTGTCAAACTGGGTTTCTTCAAGGGCTGGATTAGCATTGTAGTTCTCCTCTGCAGGCCAGTTGGGAGGGAGGGGCAGGACAGATGCCTCCTGCAGCACCTGCTGGCCAAAATGGGGTGCGGCGGGTCCATGCGCAGCCCCACTGTGCCTCCGTGGCCTCCTGCAACACTCTGCCTGCCATTTTCAGGCCCATTTTTGGCCCGTTTTCCATCTTGTTTTCAGGCCATTTTCCAGGCCATTTTCTGGCCCATTTTCGGCCAGCAGAGTGTTGCAGGAGGCCATAGAGGGTGAAAACAAGATGTGTGGGGACGCACACAGCCTGTTTTAGCCACCAGAGGCACCATGGGCCGGATTTAAGCATCTTTGATATTTCCAGGCTGGCCCTGCAGCTGGATTTAAGCATCCCACAAGCCGGATTTGGCCTGTGGGCCTTGAGTTTGACACCCCTGCATTAGAGAGTTGCAACTCAATCTACATACCATTAAAGACACGTGTGACCCAGCGTGCTTGGATTTCCACAACTGGCATGATTGCACCAAATGGCCTGATGAAGCCTATAATGGCTAGTGTTGGTTTCTCTAGTTGAGGAAGGAAGATGTATTTGTACAAGGAAGCATGACGGTTTTCAACCTTCAGGATTGATTCATCAATGAAGGGAAAAGAAGCTTTGTATCCAGTGGCAAAGACAACAGTATCTACTTCTTCTGCAGTGGGAACATTTACAAATACAACAGCATTCTCTTTGAACTCTTTCACTGCAGGCATAATAGAGATCTTTCCAGTGATAATGCATGAAGGAAGTAGATCATTTAATACAGGCTCTCTCATCACACGTCTAGGAAGAAAAATAAATGCAATTAGTAAGTTGCAGGCAAAGGAGATAACCCCTGGATTATCCTTTCTTTTCAGCATTTTTACATATCATTCTTATCAGAGAAAGTTATGAGAAAGACAGTCTCCTTTTGACTCTGAGCCTGGAATTTTCATTCATTTAGCTATGAATATATAGTGACTAATAAAGTTATCTTCCAAGAATGTGTATCTCTGTGCTGGCTAAACTAATGGCAATGAAGTCAATTAGCATGATGTAAAGATGTAGTTCCTTTGAAGTTTTCCAAATCTCTTACCTATCAACGCCATTAGATGACTTAGAGATCTAGTAATATGGTGAGGGGAAAATTCATTTATCTCTCTCTTAAATAAGATAAAAGAAATTGAGTTTGCAAAGCTCTTCTCTTCTCTAGCATAGCTTAGGAAAACTATTTTTAAACCCAGAGAGAAGCATTAAAAGAGGAGAGGAGCCTCTGTGGCACAGTGGTTAGAGTGCAGTACTGCAAGCTACTTCTGCAGCCAGCTGCCTACAATTTGGCAGTTCAAATCCCACCAGGCTCAAGGTTGATTCAGCCTTCCATCCTTCTGAGGTGAGTAAAATGAGGACTCAAATTGTTAGGGGCAATATGCTGACTCTCTAAACCGCTTAGAGAGGGCTGTAAAGTGGTATATAAGTCTAAGTGCTATTGCTATTAAGCATTATGTAAGAAAAACCTCGCAAATCTAGAATTTAAAATGCTTGCTATCTTGTCAGTTATAGATAGATTTGTACATATATAATTAGCAAGTTGTTGTGCTTGCCACCTTGGCTGCAAAAGAGTGTTGTCTTGTGCTGAAAGACTGAAATGAATCTGTTCAAGGCAAGGAATGCCATTATTCAGAAGATAGCACAATCAGCTGTAGAACAAAATAATTTTAAAACTTGGAGTCACCTTTAATGTTCAAGTTTTGAATGGAGACTGTATGTATGGGTATGTAAAATTTATATCTCCTTGAAAGAGGAATGGCTCTTTGTCACAAACAGGTCAGCGGCCGCTCTCTCTTTTGAATAAAGAAACAGCTTGGTCTTTTTTAAAAAAAGGGCAAAAATCTGGAGAAGAAAATTGGGCAGGAACACAACTATCATCTGCCCAGCAATCTCTGATTAATGTTTGGGATCTCCAAGAAGCTGTAAAATATTTTCTGCAATAATATAATTTTCTTTGGAACATTATGCTTGGTAATAATTTGAATCCCTAATTTCTTTAGAAAGAATTTTTCTTGCAAGCTCTTCATTTGTGATAGAACATGCCACACCACGGGCTGTTTTATTTTCCTTTGTTCTTTTTAAACTACTTTCCAAGTAATGTGATCTTAACGGTTCTCTTTCTCCATTGAAAACTTGTATTTTAATGTGTATGTACACACTTCATTGGGTTAGGGTTTTGTGGGTTTTTTAAATCACTGCCTGAAGTTTTCTTGGCAAGAGTTTTTGGAAGTAGTTTGCCATTGCCTGCTTCCCAGGACTGAGAAAAAATGACTGGCCCAGGATCACCCAGCTGGACTCTAACCTACGGCAAAACTACAATTCATACTCTCCCAGTTTCTAGTCTAGTTAACCACTACATGAACCTGATTTTTAATACATAAAGTTAAAAAGAATTTTCTATATAACATAACACAACAAAACACAACACTACTTTATTTCCAGTGAGATTGGTTTATCTCTCAAGGGGAACTGGTTAGTCAGAATGCTAGACTACAGGTATGTGGCCAGGATAAATGGCCAGCAGGTGGCAACTATATTACGCACAATCACTAATGCAGGGGAAAGGACCAGAATGTGAAGACAACAAGAATTCTGGGGGGGAGGAAGAAGTTTGAGGTATTTGTTAACTTTATTATCTACCCATCTTTAGCATCCAATTTATTTCCAGTACCTGTCCTTGGGAATTAAGCCATAGTTTGCATGGTTAAACCACTGGCTCACTCTGTTTGCAATCATCCATACTGTGATACACCCAGGAAGGCTATTTCGGATAATATTCAAAAAACGACTTTGAAACACCATGTCCCAGGGGTAGCCATTGTCAAAAACACGGCTTATAACCCAAGAACCTCTTTCTGTGCTGATCATCACCTAAAAAATAGAAAACAATGAAAACAGAGCAGCAGCCTGATATAATTAACAATCTCAAGTCATATCTACACCTCATACAAAAATATTTAATAGTATCTCAGTCCAGGTTTGGGACTCTTATGGTGATAATCTGTTTTCATCCATCCACCCATCCATTATCTCTCTCCCATATGTACAATATACTGTTTGGCTGTGAATTGCTTAATGCCAATTGTAATTGAAGTAATATAAAGCTTTATAAATAACATTAACCCATGTAGTGCTGACCCTTTTGAAAGGCGTTAGTTACATAGATTAGTTCCAGACTTCATGCTGGGCTGAGACAGATCCAGGAAGTGCTTACAGTACTTCTTCTATGTGCCCACCTGGTTCTTTTAGTTTTGCTGGCTATATTGTGGCCAACCAATATCCATCTAACTATGCCCACTATATAAAAGAAACATTCAACACACACACACACACAAAGCTGAGGCCCCAATAAAATATCAATTTCCCCCATGTAATTTGTATATGCATGTCAAACCTACAGTAAATTGACATCCCTCCAGGCCCTATTGCCTGTGAGATGAGCCAAAACTTCATGGGCAGTTAGAAATTGACAGTCAGCACCTACTGGAAGCCCTCTGGGAGCCAGTGCAGCTGATGCAATCGTGGTATTACATGAGTGGGCTGTGATGCCCTCAGAACTGTAGGTGCTGCTGCCTTTTAGACCAGCCACTGTGTCCAAAAGCTGTTCAGGGCAGCCCTGCTGTAGTAGTGAAAGTGGGAATTGATTAAGACACAAATGACAGAGAGCAGTGCCTCCCAGTCTAGGAATGGCTGTAACAAACATACAAGGTGGTATTTCTGCAAAGGCTGTTCTGTGAGTAAGAGCTATGAGCTATCTAAATCATGAGATACCAAGGTTCCTAAAGCCTTGTCAGAGTTGAGCAAAGCTGATTTCTTCCACAGTCAGACTAGACAGTCTCCAGGCACATGGAGAACATTTCAGTTTCATCATTTGGATAGCCTGGGCAGAGATGCATAACGCAATGCCTTGAAGATCCTGATGATACACCCAGCAGTTTGATTTATATATTGGAACACTGCAGTCTTGTAATATCTGAAGGGTCTCGAGTTTACCTATAAACCAAGTTGGTCATCAGAGGTCCCTCATTTTGCTACTAAGATGAAAGGTGGTATTCTCAGAAAAAAAAAATGGAAGTGTTCAGATTGTGGGTTGCTTTTGGGGGAAGCTTGCAGTTACTACTGTGTTATTTTGGCATCCACATATAATATTTATTTTTTTCTTAGACTTCTCCATTCAATTTTCATCTGATCTAATTTTGAGAGTTTTCAGTATTGCTCATATATACTGTATTTTGCGACTTTTCCATATTTTCCATTCTATTGTTTTGTCTTTTGTAATTTAAATCGGAGGGGAAAAATAAGATTGTATCTATTCAATAGAACAGTTGACAGGCAATACATTCTCCCAGGGGGCCATATGAAAAACTGGAAATGTTCTGAAGGACCACCACCACAGCCCCTGACCCACCACTGCTATTCTGCCTCCTGATGCCACAGCTGCCCTGCTCCCTGTAGTCAATGCCACCAATCCCATGGACTGGACAAGGACAGCCATAGGGCCAGATGTGGCGCCTGGGTCTAAATCAAATAAAAGTTAATAAAAATAAATTTTAAAATACAATTTAAATGGGAGGGTAATTCATACTCCATACTCCTTATTCCTTTGTGTGAATAAACTCCAGTGACATCATTTAGAAGGGACTATCAGAAGAAGAACTCCGTAAATGATCTTAACTGTACAGTCAGGGTTATATGGGACAACATTCTTCTTGTACAAAACCCTGTCTTGCTTTTAGTGGGGAAACCTGAAGATAGTTAATATACTTTAGCATATGAAGAATCTCTCCATTGGCTATAGAAAAAATATTCAGGGCATAGTTTTTCACACAAGATGGAGCTATCATTCCACTTACAACTTCAAACAATAATACAGAAAATCAGAATTTTTCCTAAACCTTTTTGTAATATATTCTTCTGTATCTTGTTTTGAGAAAAATGAGGATTTTTCTACATCAAACAGTTCTATGTCATGTCCATCCACTTATTATTTGTAGTTGTTGCTGAATGTTTCTGATAGATGATTTACCAAGCCTAATCTGGAAAAGGATGGGTTGCAATTCTTTGCATGCAGAACATACGGCCTGCTAATAAAACATGCCCTTGCTTTTGTATGGAGGACAGGGAATTTAATGTTGTCCAAATATTTCAGATTTTAGGTTCTAGTAATATTCAACCAATGTGAACAATAGGAAGGGATTGTATGAGGGAGATGTTGCTTATGACACCGTTTGTCCCCAGTGGTATCTATCCATCCTGCTGGATCCAGCAGAAGTAGAAGCTGCTCCAGGTCCTGTCTGTGACAAAATGTTAGTGGGTGGGACCCAGGAAGATGGCCTTTTCTGACACAGCAATGCTCACCTCTAGAACATCATCTCTTTGGAGATCAGACCTTTGGTGTTTTGCAAGGCCTGAGAGACCTGGCATCCCGAGGGTGAACCCATTTCTTGGCTGTATTGATTGGGGATGGCTGATCAAGGCTGTTTGCATATTTGGATAACACATCTTTATGAATCTGGAGCCCAAAAAAGTTAACAGCTCCTTCTGACCAATAGTCAAACAGAAAGACTATAGCAATCAGTCAATGTTCACTTGCAGGACAATAAGTGAGTGCCATATCCTCCCTGCTAAGATCTAAGCATAAACACATCAAATTTCATCTTTCCATAAAAACAAAAGAATTGCATTTTGCTCCATTCTTCACGGCAAAAATAAATACATAAATAAATCTTATCTGCCTAACAAATTCCTAACAGTGAAGTTGTAAATACAGTAGCTAAATATTCTTTTATAGTCCCTTAAGTCATACTTTTTCTTGGACAAGCTTGACAAGTTCCTAAGCTAAGCAACACATAGTGGACTAAAATCTGCTGGGGATGCTGCATCTTTGTTCCTTTTTAAAACTTATTTGGAAAAAGCTACTTTGTTGAGGCAACTCTGCCTTTGTCTTCTTGCACACTCATATTTGAACCTTTTTCTTGTTAAATTTGCTTCTGTTTATTTCTTATGGGAGGAAGAAAGACCAAAACCCCCAGGTCAGCTATATTGCTAAAGTTGGGGTGGCAGTAATTTGCATCTGAGCTCCTTTCCCTCATCATGCTACCACAGGGGAATTCCAGAATGAACCAAGAAGTATGAATCCAGACTCCAGTAAGTTTGTAGCTCACATAGTCAAGTCAGTGATAGACTGTCATTTATAAAATGATATTTGCTGTTATGAAACTACATTTTCCAGTCCATAGATATAAAAACACTGGCAAAGGAATATTCTGAATGTGCTTGTATCCACAAGCCCTTTGTTTAAGCCATATAACATGTTATTGGCTCACTTAGTCACAGGCATTATGCCTTCACTTGGAAGACTTCATCTGTTAGCATTTTAAATTTGGTGTGGAATAAGCACTACCAATCTTAGGTTCTGAAGTTATTCAGTACAATAATAAGGAGCAGATTTACTGAATAAATTACAAATTCTCATTTTATTATTCTCACATTCATATTAGTTGAGGAACATGTTTTGCAGGAAGATTTACATAGAACTGGGTTTCTCACACATTAGAACAATACTGATAAGAGAATAATCTGGGTGACTATTCTCTTACCAGTATTGTTTTAAAGTGTGAGGAACTTGTTTATCAAAATCAAGACTAAAACATAGCCCAGTCAGGTTCCCAAAAGCGAAGCAGTTCTGATGTACTTTACCTTTTTTGCTGTTTGAGTGGCTTCTACAGCAATATCAACTCCAGAATTTCCCATGCCAATCACAAGTACCTTTTTATCTCTGAATACTTCTGGGGTTTTGTATTTCCGGCTGTGAAAATACTGACCATTAAATTTTTCTAAGCCTGTGGGGAAATAAAGACCAACCCAATGAACTTTCAAATAAAACTTATAATAAAGAATAACATATTCCAATTTGGTTGCAGTGGTGGCATTTATATAGAGCAATCCTAATATGCAAAGAGCTTTACATGTATTATCCCAGTACCCTCACGTGAGCCTAACAAAGTATACCAAAGCCCATTATTGGTGAGAAATCTGAAACTGTAGCTTGCCAACTAGATACTATCTAAGAAATTCATAAAGTTCTTTCCTCAATATTCATGTAAAAAGACAAAGATGGATAGCATTTGGGTAGATTTTAAGGGCTGCTGATATTCCTTCATTTAATAACCATGCTTAAATTTCATAAAACAATATTCAACAATATGTTTGTGGAATAGAGTTGATGCTAACTGTCAACTGGATACTGGATACTGTCACATAAATTATCTTACAGCCCTCCATTGCTATTATCTACTGTAAACTAATTCTGTTTGTTTTTTGTGAAGATTTTTATAAGTGGGCAGAAGGTCAACCTTTGTAGCCACAGGTTTCCTTGTTTTTTGTGAAGAATGCTGGCCTACCTACAGCTTGGTTACCCAACAAAACTGTTATCTAATTCTAAAGTAGACAAATATTTTAATTGTTCTCAAGCTTCAGTTCCTATCAATCGCAGTATGACCAAGATGAAAATTGGTAGGATTAGCAGTTGATCATCATTTGGAAGGCCACAAGTTGTCTGTGCCAGTTCTTAAGCAAGACAGCATAATTAGGATGACTTAATTTTTAAGAGATCCAACTTTGTAAATTTAAAGCATATTTAATGAAGACTTTTGTAAAAACAGAGAAAAACCTAAATTGGCAGAAATGAAACCATCTCATCATAAGGAAGCAAAGTACAAATTAACAGGGAAACCAGAGCTAAAGATAATGATGCAGATGTGAAACAGGATACAGCAAGGCTCTCTTGACTTTCTTATTTTTTAAAGAAATTGTTTTGTTGAGCTCCGTTATGTATCAATATACTGAATTACAATGGATCATTATAACTGAGAGGTGGAAACGGTGGACTGGAGAAGGATTTAGACTCCATTTTGTGCCCTTACAGAGAGCTCTCATATGGCTGCAGCAATATGACAATTTTCAAAGGCATTAATTGTGGATGGGCCAGGGGACTCCTGTAAAAGGCCAAAATTGTTTAGCATAACAATTTCTTCGTTTTAACATTGCAAATGTGGTCTCTGTGTTTACAAAGTGCTTGGACAGCAAAGGCAATTAACAAGCAAGTGCTGGACCACATAACACCAGACATGTCCCTAAAAGGCAAAATCATGAAACTGTGTCTCACTTACTTTAGTCAGTGTCACTGGTTAGTGGTAAAAGGAAACCAGGCCATTAAAGAACATCAAAGCTGACACCAGCCAGAGCATAGAAAAACACAAAGAAATAGTGCAAGAGTGCAAGATGTGGAGAGACCTGGCCCATAGAATTGTCAAGTCAGACTTGACTGAACAGTTAAAATCATCACCATCATATTTACAAAGATACTTAGGTGTGTATGTACATACATATTATATTGTCATTACCTTAAATATTACAACCTGTAATTTAACAAATAAAACAGATGTATTAATGGAAAAAATCCCTGCCCATGAAGCAGAGAACACAAGTTCAGCAAAGTGACAATTGATCACTTCTTAAGAATTCTGCCCATGCATTTTGAAAGTAAATATTAAACCTGGAACATCTGATTACGCATTTTTAAATTAAATATATGCTTGCAAATAGAGATACCTGGGTAACTCTTGAGTGGCAATAAAGGCTCAGTAAGGTAGCCCACACAAACCATCACAGCATCAAAAATGGTTGAGCTCTGCTTTCCATTGGCCTCTATAACAACTTCCCACTGGCCAGTATTAGAGAAATCAGGACACTTCTTTATGCTGATCACTTTTGTCTGAAACATTTTCAGAAACTAATCAGTTGTGATGATCCAAAAAGGACTGAATTTGCAAATACACCTGGCTTTGAGTTCATAGGCATCTTTTTAGATTAGAAATAGAAAATGGATGAATTAAATATGAGCGAAAGTGAACAAGCCAAAATCATATATTTGCTCTGGAAAGTTTATACTTTGAAAGGCAAAGTCTGGGTTTTAACTGCACTGAACCAAAGTCTCTAGAAATAAATGTAGTACTTTTTTAAAAAAATGTTAATATTCAGCTAATACTTTTAAAGCTTACCTTTAATTGAATGTATTTCTGGAGATCAAAATGTTTTGTATACATCCTCAGGTATTCCAGGAGTTGGTGATGCGATAAAAAGGCTGGAAAGTTTTCTGGATATGGAAAATCTGTGAAGGCAGACATCTCCTTAGAGCTGTTACTAACCATTGACCTGTACATGCTGGGTCTTCCATCTTCAACATAGTCCTATCCATAAAATATTACAAGATTATGTATTAAAAAGCCAGTTTGTTAAGGCATCAGACTAGAAACCAGGGGACCGTAATGCTTGGGCAGGGTTCCAAAAGGAATTGGGAATCTTAAGTTTCTTAATTTCTTAATTTAAAAAGGGGTAAAATGCCATTTTTTTGAGTTTAGACAGATTCAGGTAACATTTTCAGGCATATTTGCCATTCAATAGTCATAAACTATGCCATTTTCAGATTAAGCACAATACTTGTTATGAAAAGGATATGTAAGGTGATTAAAGAACACTAACTGCAATTCTATTATCTGTAGGCAATATCTGTTAAAATACAAAGATTTAGACCCCCAAAACTGGAAGATGCCAAATAGATCAAATACTGTACAATATTTGGAAGCTGAGTACATTTTTTCATGATTCGCCCACTGTGAATAAAATATGGGACTTATTTTGCACAATAAAGGGCATAATAGTAAAAAGAAATAAATTAAGTCATGTTGATATTAGTGTTTGCATGTAACTCCTCATAAGTTTACGCCTGGAGAACATTGAGGTTAATGAGACATGTAAATGAGATATGTAAAAAATTATGGGATTTTGCATTATCACCTTATACTTCTTATTTGAATTATAAGTATTATGTGTGTATTAAACAGTTTGTTTTGTTTTCCATCTGGATAGGTGCAGTGGTTAAAGTGCAGTACTGCAGGCTTCTTCTGCTGACTCCCGGCTGCCAGCAGTTCAGCAGTTTGAGTCTCACTGGCTCAAGGTTGACTCAGCCTTCCATCCTTCCGAGGTCAGTAAAAATGAGGACCAGATTGTTGGGGGCAATATGCTGACTCTGTAAACTCCTTTGAGAGGGCCATAAAGCACTGTGAAGCAGTATATAAGTCCAAGTGCTATTGCTATTTAAAGAAAGAATGGGGAAAATAGATATTGTACAATTATTAAATATTTTGTGAATATTTTGAAATTATTGGTAGGGTAAATATATTGAATACTTTTTATCGGGACCTGCTGAGGAAAAAATTGTTTTATTTATCAGTTACTTCACTGTTTAAATAATAAAACTTGTAATAAAAGCCAACTTCACATAGTATAAACTTTCAGCTGTCTAATTAAGCAACACAACACATGGACATGGTGGAGATGGGTCTACTACACTCTACTGTCATAACTTACTGTGAATCGCCACAATCCCCCTATGTCATCACTTTGCTCAAAACAGGTTGGCTCTAGTCCCTCTTCCAGGCAGCACTTAATGGAGGTCAGTCCACTCACACCGGCTCCAACAATGGCTACTTTTTTCACCATGGCTTTTTGAAGCAAGAAGAGCAGAAATATATGGGGTTACTATTTTAAAAAATGAAAGTAGTTTCCTGTTTCAACTTGTCATGACAGCTGGTTGGACTTTTCTTAAAAATTGTTTTTAAATGACACTTTCAAGTCTGAATTCTGAAATTTGCTTTTCTCACATAGGTGGTTTCATTCAAGGTACTTTTGTTTCCCAACTTTTGTTTGGAGCTTCCTTTCAGTAGCATAAATCTGTTTCAGATTTCCTCTGGGTAGAATACAGAATAACACAACTGGAAAGGACCTTGGAGATCTTCTAGTCTACCTCCCCTCCCAATGCAAGCAGGAGACCCCATGCTATTTCAGACAAATGGTTGCCCAGTTTCTTGTTAAAGACCTCCATTGATGGAATATCTACAATTTCTGAAGGCAAGCCATGATGGAATATCTACAATTTCTGAAGGCAAGCCATTCACTGATTAATTATTCTCACTGATTGGTAATTTATCCTTATTCTAGACTGGATCTCTCTTTTTAAACCTTCCATCCATTACTTCTTTTCCTGCCCTATTCTATTTGAGAATAGGTTGATCCTCTCCTTTTTGTGACAGCTCCTCAAATATTAGAACACTGCTATCATGTTACCCACAGTTCTTCATTAAACTAGACAATCCCAGTTTCTGCAACTGTTCATCGTACGGGTTAGCCTCCACTCCCCTAATTATCTTTGTTGCTCTTTCTGTACTCTTTCTAGAGTCTCAACATCTTTTCTGCATTATGGTGACCAAAACTGGATGCAGTGTTTCAAGTGTGACCTGATCAGTGCAGTATAAAATGGTGCTAACACTTCACAAAATATTGATACTTACCCTCTTTGATTAGCCTAGGACTGTACCAGCCTTTTTGGCAACTGCAGCGTACTGCTGGCTCATACTGTTGTCTATTATAATTCCCAGATTCCTCTCTCAATTATTGCTTTTGAACCAGGTACCGCCTATTGTATATCTAAGCATTTGGTTTTTGTTGCCTGTGAAAAACCTTATTTTTTTTAACCACTTGTAGGGGCATAAGTGCACTAAAGTGCCTACCATCCCTGTCCTATTGTTTGTTTTTATTTTTCTTATATGTATCCATTTCATGTATTCATAATTATGTTTATACTTATACCTGTTATCTTATAATTGCTTGACTAAATAAACAAATAACTGCATTTTGTTGGATAGGATATTCAAGTCTATCAAGATCCTTTTGGATCTTGTACCTATCTTCTAGATGAGGGATGTCAAACTCAAGGCCCGTGGGCTGGATTCAGCTTGAGGGATGCTTAGATCCGGCCTGTGAGGCTGGCCTGGAAAAAGCAAAGTACCAGCCTGCAGTTCCTCTACCAACACAAATGGAGTTTGGGGTGGACCATTTCTGTCAAATGGCAGTCCAATCTCTTCTTGAAAGCCTCCAGTGATGAAGCTCCCACAACTTCCAAAGGCAAACTGTTCCATTGGTTGATTGGTCTCACTGTCAGAAAATTTCTCCTTATTTTTAGGTTGAATCTCTGCTTGATCAGTTTCCATCCATTATTCCTTGTCTTGCTTTCAGGTGCCTTGGAAAATAGCTTGACCCTCTCCTCTCTGTGGCAGCCCCTCAAATATTGGAACACACTATCATATCTCCCCTGGTCCTTCTCTTCACTAGACTAGCCATGCCCAGTTCCTGTGACCGTTCTTCATATTTTAGCCTGAAGTCTAAGTATATTGTGTCGACAGTATTTCGCTGGTCTACTACTGTAATAGTCACTATGTTGAAGAATGAAATGAAATTGGTTTGGCATGATCTATTTTTAACAAACCTGTGCTGACTGCTAGTTATTACTTTACTTATTTCTAGATGTTTGGCAGATCAGATTGTTTATCATCTTTTCCAGTGTCTTCCTGGGTATTGATGTTAGGCTGATTGGTCTGTAGTTTCCTGGGTCTGTTTCCCTCCCACTTTTTTGAAGATGGGAACCACATCAGCTCTTTTCCAATCCTCTGGTAGTTCCCAGGTGCTCCAGGATTTTTGAAAGATGTGGTACAGAGGTTCTGAGATGACATCTGCCAGCTCCTTTAGAACACTGGGATATAATCCATCAGGTCCCGGTGATTTGTATTCATCAAGATCAGACAGTGTTCTCTTGCTATTTTTTGGCTTGTTTTAACTTTTATTTCTGGACTGTCTTTTGCAATTATATTTTGGTAGGTTAGGATATAGTTTCTTTTTGCATAAAGACTGATGCAAAGAATGAGTTAAGCAGCTCTGTTTTCTCTTTGTTGCCTGTTATTTCCTTGACATTTTCTCTCTTTAGTGGACCAACTGTTTCCTTGATTTTTTTTCTTGTTATTTATATGTTGGAAGAAACTTTTTTTTTATTATCTTTGACTTTTGTTGCCAAGTCTTTGTTCATCCTGAACCTTTTTTTTTTCCTGACTTCATCTTTGCAGATTTTGGCTATCTGCTGATATTCTGCCTTAGTTATTTGTCTCTCTTTCCATTATTTTGTACTTGGACTTTTTGTCTTTCAATTTGTCAGAGAGATCTTTGTGCAGCCATGCTGTTTTCTACTTGGATCTCTTGTTTTTCTTTCTCAGTGGTATTGTGCTGATATGGGCTTTTATGATCATGTTTTTCAGAGTTTCCCAAGATTCTTGAGTTGTTTTCCCTATTAGTGGGTATATGGCAGCTTTATGAACAGCTGCCTTGCACTGCGGGTTTAGAGACTATCTGGAGGACATGTTATTAGACCAACTAGTTTGTGGAGTCAGGGATTTAAGACTACAAAGGCATCTATTGGCTAAAGGGGATTTAACCCTTAAATTAGCAATTGAAGAATCTCAAGCTGCAGAGCTGTCAGCACTTTCAGCAGCAAAAATTCAGGGAAATCCAATTAGCCAGAGCAGCTGAGCCATCCATTAGGATGAAGCCTCCACAGAGGAAGGCTCTGAAGAGGCTAGTGATGTAAATCGTCTCAGGCAGCCCAAAACCAGTCAAAGGGAAAACAGGTCAACTCCCAACCAACCTCCACGGTCTCAGCCCATCTGTCTAAGCTGTGGAGGAAATCACCTCAGGGCATCCTGCAAGTTCAGGAATGCCATTTGTCTAAAATGCCAGAGAAAGGGTCATTTAGCCAGGATCTGTCAGGCAGGAAAGACTTTTGCCCAACCACAGAAACCTCAGACAACTCAGCATTTTCAAAAACAAATTGAAGACTGTTTCACCTGCTACTAAGCCAAACTAACAAACAAAGGCTCTAACAAAATCAGTGTTATCATTTCTTTAGAAGGAAAACCTTTCAGGATGGAGGTAGACACTGGCTCAGCACTGTCCATCATCTCATGGAGCACCTTGAAATGACTGCTTCCCAGAATGGCAAAGAAGAGGCTTCAAGGCTGCGACTTAACCCTACATGACTACCAAGGCAGAACCATCCCAGTCATCGGAAAAGGCAAGTTTTTTATTCAATTTCAAAATTTTAAAGGTCACTTGCCTTTAGTGGTAGTGGATGGTGCCCTCCCAAGCCTGCTGGGGTTAGACTGGTTCCCTGCCCTTGGCCTCCATATAGGCGGAATCCACTCTATTGCAAATTCAGAGGTGGATGCCTTGTTCAATGACTATGCTGATGTGTTCAGCGAGGGCCTAGGCTTTTACTTGGGAACCCCAATATCTTTCAACTTGGACCCTCTAGCAGTCCCAATCCACTTAAAGCCTCAAAGGGTACCTTTTGCAATCCACCCCAAGCTGGACAAGGAACTAGACAAATTAATTAAACAGGGCATATTAGAGACTGTGGACTTCGCAAAATGGGAAACCCCAATAGTGACACCCCTGAAGAAGGAGGCAGTTTAAGAATCTGCGCTGATTACAAGAGCTCATTGAATAAATATTTACAAATCAGCGCTTATCCAGTCCCAATTATCCAGCACCTGCTGCATTCTTTTGAGCCAGGAACCATTTTCGCGAAACTAGACATGTCACAAGCCTATCAACAGTTCCCTGTTGGCCCCAGGAATTTTCCAATCATTAGTGGAAAGACTGCTTCAAGGATTACCTGACGTAATACCTTATTTCGATGACATTTTAATATCTGCCCCTGACAAGTCTCAGTTACTGCAAAGAGTCAAAGGTGTCCTTGATTGTTTCAGAAAGTTTGGTCTCAAATTAAAAAAAGAGAAATGCACTATTGCCACCCCACAGATTGATTTTTTGGGGTACAGAATTGATGCCTCTGGTATTTACCCAATCGAATCCAAAGTAAGGGCTATTCATGAGGCACCCACACCAACTAACAAAACCGAACTCCAGGCTTTTTTAAGGACCCCTTAACTTCCATGCTTCATTTTTGCCATATAAGGCTTCCATTGCAGAACCCATGCATAGACTCCTGGATAAACAATCTTCGTGGCATTGGGGACCTAAGGAAGCCTGTGCTTTTAATGCAGTCAAATCATTGCTTACATCTGATGCTGTTCTAATTCAATTCAACAAAAATTTGCTTTTAGTCTTAGTCATTGGTGGAAACTTTCAAAAAGAAACTGGACAGCCGCCTGTCAGAAATGATATAGGGTCTCTTTGCTTGAGCAGGGGGTTGGACTAGATAACCCAAAAGGTCCCTTCCAACTTCTATTCTAGTCTAATCTAGTCTATCATGACTGTAAATATTCCACCAATGTTCAGTGTTAATAGTTTTCTACCCTTAAAGCACAAGGGCCAAAAATAACAGATTTTATATCCTGCCCCACCCTGAGGAATGTTATGGATAGGACAAAGGGCATAAAGAGTCAGAGGGAAAGATAACTGTGGTCAGTTCCTCTCCTATTAAAAAAATATGTAGCTGGGAATATTCAAGTGCATTCTTTCTGTCTCCCAGATGATAAGTGCGGCCAAAATTCCACAACTTTATGAGGCATAGGAGATTCTTCCCCTTTGGCACCAATTACCATATCACTGATGGCCTGTTATTGGCAACTGATGCACTCCTTCACATGATACGCTAGAATGGCGAAAGAAAGCATTCAGCTTGAAAAGACTGTGGTGGCTGAGTTGACTGGCAGTCCTGTTTGCTTTCTTGCTTCTTTTTGCTGAAACACTTAAATTCTTATCTTGAAAATATTGCATAACTTTTTGAAATTGGATTATTCCCAGCCATTTGAAAATCCCCTCATTACAAAATTAATTGAGTTTCATGATTTGTTAACTTAAACCTGTACATTTAAATATCACTTGGATCAGCTGTAGTCCTCATGAAATGGAAATCGTCTCACTGTTAACTTTGAACTGATCATGATTGACATTTCAACTTTCAGTTGAGTTCAATCAGCTTGTCAATCAGAAATAGTAGCTAGGAAGCTGTGCCAATTGTTAGAAAGATATAGCTGTTTTTCTGTATTGAAATTAAATGGAATTCTGCTAATAACAAAATTACACAGTAAATATATTTATTCTTAACACAGTTTGAGGTCAAATAACATCTCTTTTCCATTCCTTAAATATATTTTGCTTTCTAAATGCCAAGTGTAATACATACAGCCTGGGTTTACAGCAGTAGCAACTTTAATATGTGTGGACCCAGAATTCTAGGAGTTGAAGTCCATACATCTTAAAGCCAAGTTTGAAAAAAATAATTTAGAGAAACAGTTGATAGTACAAATTTTTCTCAATAAGAGGATTGGACAGAGCTGCCATTGTGATGAAACAACATATAGGGAAGGAACATGGTTGATTATAAGCTGCAGGAAAAGAGAGCAAATATTGTAATAATCCTAACATTTTTTTAAAATCAAATTTTATTCAGTTTTTCATGTTAAAAACAAAAATCTCTTTTTAGTGGACAACATATTTCCAGGTCATCACCTTTACATACAAATATGACAGCAATTATACATTCATATCTGCATACTTAATTCTATTATTACCTTTTCCATTCCAAATTTTCAGTAAGGAGAGAAACAAACACATTAATTCTAGCCTCTTTCATTAATCTCAATTGAAACATCTTTTTGTTTCATTTCAATTATTTCAAATATAATCCTTTAATATTTATTTTAAAAATAAAGATAAATAATATGTGTTTGCCTAATAATAATAATAATAATAATAATAATAATAATAGTAATAATAAAGGTTACCAATGTCTCTCCTTGCTTTTAATAGTCTATATTAACTTATTAATTTAACTGGTTCTTTAGTCTGTCATATTTCCTTTCCATTACACATTCTTTTTATAAATTCTAGATTAATACAAATTTTAACACTAAAGGAAAAAAAAAGGTTTCCCCCCTTTTACTGCTTTGAGTATGACACCTCAGTGATTAAAATATACCTTTATTCCCTCATCTTGATTCCCAATAAACCATTATTTTTAAGAAGTTACAATAATAATCATTATATCTTTTCATTTGGATTCCGCAGCATATTTCCCCCCTTAATTTTTAATAGAAGTTATCAGTATCTATATTACCCTATTTTCTAAATATTTGAATTGCAGAAATATTCTTATTACCCCTTGTCACCCTGCAGAATCCCCTTTTTAATTCATCAACCATTATCTCTGAAAAAACAATTTCTTTTCAATGTTTTACTATTTCCGTATTTCTTTATTTCATGCACCTGTTTCTTACTGCTTCTCCTCCCCCTCTTTTCCCCATATCTTTTCTCATTCCAGTTTATATCCCTCTCTTAATATCTTCCGTTCCCCTTTTTGCTGGGTCTTTCTGCTTTTCCCGACTTCACAGTTATTCCCCCTTTTCATTGCCTTCTTAAATCTCAACTTTTAAACCTTCCTTCTTTCCCCACTTCTTTGTAGTGTTCTTTGTGTTAATTGTCTATTTAAAATGTCTTCTCCTTGAGTCGACTCCTCCTCCTCTGAAGCTCTTTCTTCTTGTTCTTCAGTTGCCATTTCCATTTTTTCTAACACAGAGCAAAGTGATTTGCCTCTTTCCTGTTGTAATTCTCTCATATTTTTAAGTTCCATTTTTAATTCCCGAAGATATATTATCATTACACACTCTTGTATTTTATGATCGTTAAAGTCCACAAAAAATCCACCACTTTTACTTTCCTTCTTTCTTCTTTCAATTTTCTAAAGTTCTTAATTATTCCAGTCCAGGGTCTATACCAAAAACTTCAATCAATCTCACAGTCAGTCTTTCCTTTCTTTTTTCTTTATTCTGGTTCTGCTTTCACTTTCTAAGATTCTTACTTTGTTTCAATATTTCTTTAGTGCTATATCCACACAAGTTCATTCAGAAACAGGATCCTTTCCCTTTTGTTTGAGCTCAAGTTTTTATCAAAAGGTGGCACTCTCCATTATACAAAGTCTTCACCTTTTTCCCCTATTTTTTTGTTTAGGGTTTTTCGAACCTCAATATTCCAGCACAGTCCAGTCTCCAATTTGTAAACTTTATTATTATTATTTTTTGACAATCTTAAGTCCAGCCTGTTTTATGCCAAAATATTTTAGTCCAATTTAGTTAAATCTTTAGTTCCAGCTTCTTCCTTTCCCGGTTCGAAGCCCCACTTAGCTCTCAAAAATATTTTCTTATTTTTTTTCCTGTCCCTTTGTAATTTCGCCGCTCACTTTTCTTTTTGTAAAAATTCCATGTTACCTTAATCCCAGGGTACTTTTGTTTAGTTGTATTGCCCAGTTGTCCCAGTTCAGATGTTATCCACCTCTTTCTTCCCTTCTGCACAAAGCTTAGTCCAGCTGAGTCCTCCTCTTCGGGGTGGCCATTTTAAACCACCGCTGCAGTCGTCTTCGGGGGGGAAAAGACCAAGCCCAGGAGGGGAGATACGGCTCCCCTCAACCTGGCTTGTGGCTTCCCCTTACTCCGCCACCCCTCCAAGGCAGCTTCAGCCCCTAATCATAATGATTGGGGCTCTCCAATGAAAGAGCATGGACCATAGCTGCAGAGAGTCACGATCTATGGTCCGTCAGCGAGGAGGCTCTGCCTTCTTCCTCCAATAATCCTAACATTTTGATGTAATATATAAGCATTTTTTTATACATGGGAAAAGAAGCAGCAGAATATTTGTCGTAAATATATTGACATATAAGAGAAAGTAATTATACAAAATATTAGCAGAACCCAAAGACTGAGATGGCAAATATAATTAAATCAAAGATGAAAACTAAGCATGAACAGATGAATTAATACATTTAAAAATAAAACAATACCTTTATTATGACAATTTCAGATGTCTAAAAAGTATGCAAGCTTTCAAGTTCTCCAGTACTTTTCTTCATGCAAGACTGTAAACACAGCAATCAGTTAGTAGATAAAGTGGAAAAAAATGATGATAAACATAAATCTACACTTACATTTTTGTATGGTATGATGGTACATTTTCATGGCATTTTGGTTAAAATTTTAAGGATTGGCTTATCCACAGATGGGCTCATCTACAAATATATGAAATAGCTTAAAATAAACAATTTTTAGCAGAAGTAACAACATAGGTATGAAGTGAAATTTCTATTTCTTAGCGAAGTCAGCATTTTTTTTTGTGCTGGACATCCATTTGAAAATTTGAAAATATGAGGTGAATGAGTGGGATAGCTAGTCATAAAATGGCTGGCACATGTGGCTGGCACAATACACAAAGGAGGTTCTACTTTTTCTCGTTCCCTGTAATACTTCCAATATGATCATCTTGCCTTTGTTTGTTTTCTGAGCAGTGGGTGCTTCCAAGCAAGGCACGTATTCGAATACCCTTCCCTCTATTTTTATTATGTCCATGCAAGGTACAGAAATAAGGATGCTGTCAGAGATTTTGTTGTAAGTTAGTGTCAAATTATTTTCTTAATTAGAATATTTGTTAAGCTAGAAAAGAAATATGAGAAAGCAGTACTGTAGCAACTGTGGCAAAATTATTGTACACACAAAGTTGGGAAAATAATAAATTGCCCAGACTAGAAGATTGGATTATAAAATGAATGGAGCTTGCAGAAAGGCAAAGCTGACCAATTTGATCAGGGAAAATGCAATAGAGACTTTTAAAGGATTGGAAACTTTATATAGAAGTTTTGCTGAAAGAAGAAAAGTCTGATCTGGTGATTTATGGATTTGGGGATTAAAAAGGGTTTAAGAGGAAGGGGCAAGAGTAAGAGTCAATTACTTAATAGAAAGGTGGAAGTCATAATTCTATGCTTTCTTTTTTCTTTTCTTTTTTCCATTTTTTCTTTAATTTTTATACTTTTATTGTATTGAAAAATTGTCATAAAATATTATAAACCAATTTAAAATATCAATTATTTATCCACCCATTAAAAAGTGTAATAGAGAGTATAAGACCTTCAAGGGGAAGAGTCATGATCATAATTGGTTGCTTACCTTTGTCTTAGCTTGTATCTCCGACTATGAGCAAGCACTCCTAAGAATTAAGTCTGGATTCAAAACTTATCCCTAAAAGAATACGTAGCTTAAAGTACCAGACTTCTCCTAGGATATGAAAAGTGAATGATTTGCAAAGAAGTAGAGAACCAGTTCACATACAGACATCTAGAGTTTCCACAGAATTTCTTTTGGCGACCTTATTGGTGACCTCCTCTGGATACAAATTTAAGCTACTATGCCTATTGCAGCTTAATATGATTCGGTCAAAGCCTTTAGTACCTGAAGTAGTTTAATGAGCTGTAAAATGAGTGGGAAACCCTGGTTTTAGTCCCCCCCTTTAGGCATGAAAATTAGCTAGGTTTCTTTGGTCATGCTCTGCCCTCTTAGTCTTAGCCCTAATGAGTTTCAGGCTCTGTGACCTCCTGGCTGGAAAATCATCATAAGCTTCATTGTAAGAACTAGGTGAATACAGTGTGAAAACAAGTAACTAAGCAGAACAAATGCTATGAACAAATGCTATGTGCTGAAATTAATGATCAACGATATATATAGTATCACCGCAAAGTATACAGTATAAACACATACAAGATTACTTTCCGTATTCAAAACTGCTACAAAGACAAATTATAGTTATTCTGGTCAATTGGCAAAATTAATCCTCCCTGTATTATATAATTTTACAAAGCAATAGAAAGGGTTTTAGTGACAAATCAATCCCTAGCTATATTCAGCAGCAAAATTTTATTTATTCTCATAATGCATATTTTTCTTCTTTGGACTGTCTCTTGCAGAAGACTGACAGATTGTCACAATCTTACCTCATTTCAGAAGTCCCCATTCAAATTGTTTTCAATTTCACAGGCTTACATAAGTTGCTTTGAAGGAATTGCTCTGAAATGCAGACGGCACAGTACTGCAATGGATACGGGTAAAGTATGTTGCAAGACTGTGGAAGGGTAGAACTGCTTTTTTTCTGAGAGGACAAAATAAACATTCTTTTGTTTAATATTGGATTACATAACAGAACTTTGTAAACCGAGATGATCAGCATGTGGAAAGAAGCTGTTTAATCAGATCAAAATGACCAGAGGAATCTCTGACATTTGAGCCAAAGGGAAAAAAAATAATAAGCATGAACATCTCTTCAATTTTTTCCTGGTGGAAGGCATTAAACACCTATTTAGCTAAAATTTAACACCTGAAATTTTTGTTGCAAACAGTAGCAAAAACATTCCACACCTAAATATTATGATTAAGGACTTACCTGGACAGGTTGCCCCATCAACAGAATGGGCAAACAACTGTTTCCAGAGGCATAAATAGATGATATTGCCTTCTTTCAATCCCCTGATCATCTTCAAAGTGACCTCAAGGCTCATTCTTTTCCTCTACTTATTCTTATTATATTGCCTCAAGCATTCCTGTCCATTTGGGACAGCATGATTTAGTTTATTGCAGGGTAAATTTAACATTTCATTGATTTGACATTATACTAGTTCTACAGTATTCCCCAGTCTACTAAGTTAACAACTCTATCAGAGAAAAGGGTAAGTTTCAGCAGACATGAATTGTTTGTGACAATCTCATGCTGTCTCCTCTTATTTGTAGTATGCCCATCCTATCACAAATGAACTGCTTTTCAAGGACCTTTCCCAGAAGAGATGTCAAATGACTGTTGTTACATCCTCTAACCCAGGGGTCCCCAACCACCGGGCCCCGGACTGGGCCCGGTTCGTGGATCATTTTGTACTGGGCCGCAAAGAAAATAAAAATAAAAAATAAATTAAAAATGGTGGCTTTCTTTGCCTTCGGTGAATGCTGCTGGGATCAGGGATCAAGAACACAAAGGAAAGAAGGGGAGGGAGGAAGCAACCAAAGCCTGTCCTGCTCTCCGGCTCAGTGGCTTCGGTTTCCTCCCGCCTCATTCCTCTCTCAGTCGCTCTCTCGTTCCTCCACCAGCCCAGGAAGAAACTGCTTCAAAGAAGCCGGCAGGGTGGCTTTTCCTGACGGCGCAGCTCCTCCGAAGCGCCTGTTCACCCCCACACAGCCGCCCATGGTTTAATCCAGTGCTCCATTCTGCCTGCCTGCCTGCCTGCCTTCGTTTCTGGTTGTTTCGGAGCAGCTTTGGCTGAGAAAAAGAGGTGAATAGTTATTAAAGGGAGGAGACACCTGAGGGATGAGGCTGAGGAAGGCAGGGCCGAGAGGCAGGGCTTCTCAGCCGTCCTGCAGGGACTTGTCCTGACTGCAGAGACAGCCATGGGCCGCCACCGCCCAGCGCTCAGTTTTGAAGGCGCTCAGTTTTGAAGGTGCTCCTCAGCCAGGCGCAGTTCCTGAATCTGCAGCTGAAACCCTCTGTTTTAAATGTCCCAATAGAAGAGAATATCTATCGCTCAGGGTTGCAATGAGGAGGCATTGGCGCTCCCTGAACTTGGTGGTTTGCTGGCAGTCGTTTTATTACCCAACTAGGTAACAACATCAGATGTTACCTAGTCAGGTAATGAAACGTCTGCAAGCAAACCACCAAACTCGGACTCCACTCCCCACCCAATCCTTGAAAAAGTGTTTCTGCCTGAAACTGGTCCCTGGTACAAAAAAGGTTGGGGACCACTGCTCTAACCCCCACTCCTTTAACCTCAAATTAATCACTATTGACCTAACCCCATTCCTAAGAGGTCTGTAAGGGGCGTGCATAAGTGCATCATCGTGCCTACCATCCCTGTCCTATTGTCCCCATTTATTTGTACCTATTTCCTGTATTCCTACTCATGTTTATACTTATATCTATTATCTTGTAAGCAATTGTCAAATCAAACAAATAAAATAAATAAATAAAATGAAATCTGTAGTTGTCCAGGTCCTTCTTTTTTCCCCTTTTTGATTATTGTATTTGTTCTCCTCTAATCTTTTGGGACCACCTGTTCTACAGTAATTCTTAAAGATTATCATGAGAGGATGTGAACATTCATTCCTCTGCCACTTCTTCCAGTATCTTGGGGTGCTATTTATCTGGTCTTAAATACTTGGATTCATTTAGATTATCTAAGCATTACCTTACATTCTCTGTTGTAAGTTGCACTTTTCTCTTCTCCAGTAACAGAACTATGATCAATCAGGATTCCATTTCCTTTCTGAAAGATGACAGATATAAAATAGAAGTTAACCAATTCAGTATTCTCATCATCAACTATTATTGCTTCACCACCATCTTTTTGCAATCAAGCAACATTCTCTTTGCATTTCCTTTCATCCCTATCACATTCAAATAAATCCTTATTTTTAGTGTCCATCACAGCCATCAGTCATTCTGAAGTTCTATCTTTTTGACAGTTTCTACAGTTTCTGAAGATGATCTTATGTCATTTTTTGGCTATATTCTCCTCCCTCTATTTACATATCACATTTTCTTTTTATGGAGCTCTGCATGTATCCATGCTAGCCTTTTTAGATTTCTCCATATTTCCTTATAGGGGAGATTGTTTTCAATTGTACTTCACTGTCTCATTGTGTAGGATTTCCAGTTCTTCTTGAACACATTTTTCCTTCAAGATTTTTAAACCTTTCCTATTTTCCCTCAGAGTTCATCAAATCCATTCTTCTGAAATCCAGTTTGCATCTCCAATTCTTTTCATTTGCTCCTCTTTTGGATATCACAAATTCAAAGATAATGTAATCATTTCCTCTGGGATGCCAGTTACTGTACTTTCACTTCTTCAACCAATCTCTTCCTGACAATTATGTCCAGTATAGACCTCCATGTTGTTTCTTCTATCATCTTCTGACAAATGATGTTATCAACAAGAAAGGACAAGACCACTGACTCTTGTCTGAGTTAGATTTTTAGTGAATAGAATAGAATAACAGAGTTGGAAGGGACTTGGAAAGTCTTCTAGTACAACCCCTTGTTTAGACAGGAAACCCTATACCATTTCAGACAAATTGTTATGCAATCTCTTCTTAAAAATTACCAATGTTGGAGCATTTACAATTTCTAGAGGCAAGTTGATTAATTGTTCTAACTGTCAGGAAGTTTCTCCTTAGTTCTAGATTGCTTGTCTCCTTGATTTGTTTCCACCCATTGCTTCTTGTCCTGCCCTCAGGTGCTTTGGATAATAGCTTGACTCCCACTTCTTTGTTGCAGCCCCTGAGATACTGAAACACTGCTATCATGTCAACATGGACTGTTTTTTCTCTTGGTGTAAAGACAGATGCAAAAAATGAGTTAAGTAGTTCTGCTTTCTCTCTGTTGCTTGTCACCTTCTTGCCACTTTCTCCCATCAATGGACTAATTGTTTCCTAGACTTTTTTCCCTTGTTTTTAACATGTTGAAAGAAACATTTTTTTTAAAACTTTTATTGCAAGCCTTTGTTCATTATGAACCTTAGCTTTCCTCACTTAATCTTTACAGGATCAGGCTAATTGCTGATATTAGTTATGTGCCCATCTTTCCACTTTATCTTTTAATTTATCAGAGAGTTCTTTATGCAGCCATGTTGGTTTCTTTTGAGAGCTGCTACTTTCCTTCTTCATTAGTATTGTGCTAAACTGGACTTTTATAATCTCATTTTTCAAACTTTCCCAAGCTTCTTGAACTGTTTTCTACTTAAGGATTCTCATCCATGGAATCCTTCCCAAGCTCTAAGTTTTTTTGAAATTAGCTCTCTTAAAGTCCAAGACTCTAGTTTGACTTTGTTCTATTGCTTGTGCTTGCATAATGTTGAATTTCAATATTGCATGATCACTCCTGTATAGATCTTTGAAAGATTGCTAATCTTCTGACCACATCTATATTTTCTGCCTGTTTAGCTGATCTATAAAAACATTCCTTCAATGTTTCTCTCTCCTTTTAATCTTACACAAATACTTTCAAGAGGATGTCTATGCCCTGGTTCTTCAATTTCTGTGGAGATTTATTTTTTTTCTTTACATACAAAATGTAAATTGCCAAAATGTGGTTCTTCCAACTTTTTTTTTTGTCATAGGTTCATTTTTGGTGATAAAAATGTTTACTTGGTTTAACTTTTTGGCTATACATCAAGTGATAATTGTGCAAAAGTGATTGATTTTGGAATTTTAAGTGAGATTTAGTTCCTGAGGAAAGTATTCGCTTTTGAATTTTTCTGATAAGGTAAGGACATCAATACAGCAATCTAAAACTAGAATTAGGACAACCTTTCCAATCAGGTTTCTACAAATGTCCTTGGCCATATTAGCTAGGAATTTTGAAAGTTTCATACCTGACATATCTGAGATATTAGGCTAGCTCTCTAACCACTGATAAAGGGATAAAGGGCACTTAAGAAAAGTTGGATGAGAATTGGTAACCTGAATTTATACATTTTGTTTTCCTTCAAAAGGATCAGGTGACCGTAAATAAACTTGTCAGATGTGATGGTCTTGGAGGCATTTATATGGGCATATTGATAAGTGCAAGAAGGATTAAATACTACTTTCTACTTGCATTCATAGGAGCTTGGAAGATTTTAAAAATGTCATGGTAATTACTAAATGGAACTATACTTTAAGATCACTTCTCAAATAAAAATAAAATACATTAGAGCTCTCGATCCATAGCTCTCTTTTCTAAGCCATTTAGAATACAAATAAAAACCAGAATATTCACCAGAAAAAATTCACCAGAATATTTTTTATATTGCAGAAAGTTGTTCCCATGAGGTGTATCTACAGGATAATTGGCTGTTCTGTAACTTCCTGCAGTTAAAACAGTTTAACACTTCAGTACTTTTTAAAAAATCCCTTTGACTTTGTCTTGTCTCCTGACAATTCCCTGGACAAGTTCATGACCATATTTTCAAAGTAGTTTCTCATTACCTTCTTCCTATGGTTAAGAAAGGGTAATAGGTCCAAGGTTACCCATCTGGTTTTGTGCCTAAGGCAGGACTAGAACTTACAGTCTCCAGGCTTCTGGTCTAATGCTTTTAACCAC